ACGGGGCTATTTGTACAATTCAGAACAGGGATGAGCTTTCAGACCCAAAAGTGTGTTTGAATCCAGGATTTTGGTGTGGGTCACTCTTGAATTCCAGGTCAAATATTTCTTTAGAAATGTAGCCTCATAATACAAATGTAAATTTGAATAGATCTGGCTTTATAAAGCACCCTTCAAGTCTTATCACAAAAACATTTTACTAAACAATGAATTAAATTCTGGCACCGTAATACAGCAGATATTACAAAACTTAAAATTAACTCACATGAAGCCCGAAATTCAATGGAATCCCTCCTGCTCAAGAGTTACGTTGGAATTGTTAAATTCCAGCTGTGCAAGCATCAAGGGCAGACAGAGGGAGGATACCTCTAGACGTCAGCATTGAGTATAAGCCTGAAGCATGTTAGGAAACTACAGGTTGGAATTTTCAAAGGAGTCTACGGGATCTCCCTTAGGCTGCTTTGAGCAATCTCAGCCTAAACCCCTAACTATCCATTTCAACTGTGCTACACTAAATTCATAATCCAAAGTCCACTGAAAATCACTGGATGTTTTCCATTGACTTTAATGGCTTTAAGCCCTAAAACGTTAAGTTGCAGAATTTTATTTTGAATTCAGTTACAATTACCCACTCCCATTCCTGCTGAAGTCACCGAAAGCATTTCCATTGATTTCAATGGAAATAAGAATCAGGCCCATATTTACTGCTCTGTCCTACCTTAAGACAGCTATAGCTAAAAGGAATTTGGATTAGGCAATAATACAAATACACACCTACATAATTTAAAAGATTTAGTTGTTTTATGCTAATAGCAACCAGGAATGCGTTTCCTGTTCCCAAAAGCAATTTAAAGAATTAATGCATATGCTTACCTGGAAAAACAGTTTCACCTCTCTCTCCACCCTTCACAGCAACACTATACTTAAAAACTGGTTTGCCTTGAAATGAAAAATAAAGAGCAACAAGGACAAGGACACTATTCTATGTTTATCATGAAAAGCAGCATGATTAATGTACCAAAACCCATAACAGGTGGCCACAAAGTATATTATGAAAATTTGTTTTTCTAAAATGTGTCAATATTAATTGGGATGTCTTGCCTGGTGTAAGAAATTAATGGAGAGAACTGTTTTTCAGTTTAATGGGATGACAGCATGACTCAGAAACGTGACCACTGTCCTAATGTGCCCTTCGGATCCTTTTAGTTTACCTTGAGAGAGTCTGCATTTGAAGCAGAACTATGGACTATGCTCCTGAATTGACCCATAGAAATAAAGGTTATTTTTTCCACATGGTTTCACCTGCAAATTGCAAATACATCAGACATTGTGGGTGTATATATTTTAAGCATAGCTGGGAGGGGAAAGGGGACAAAGGGTTACATGTGTTTAGCCCCAGCCTCAGAGCATTGGGAGGCTCTTGCCTCCACAAGGCGTGGTTCTGCCTGGAGTTCCCCATTGTGCTGGGGCAATGATTGGGGGAAGGCTCCTTATTCCATCCTCACACACACAGTTCAGAAGGGCTGGCACAATTTTAGCCTAAACAGTTTAGTGCAACAAGCAGTGATAAAATACTGTGACATTATAGAATAGATATAAGGAATACATGACAGTGTGGTGTAGAGGTTTTAGGGTGTGTCTACACTGCAATTAAAAGCCTGCGGCTGGCCCATGCCAGCTGACTTAAGCTTCTGGGGTCCAGGCAAAGGGGATGTTTAACTGCAGTGTAGACATTCAGGCTCAGGCTGGAGCCCGGACTCTAGGACTTTGCAAGTGTGGAGGGTCCCAGACCTAGGGCTGCAGCCCATGTCCGAATGTCTACACCACAATTAAACAGCCCCTTAGCCCAAGTCTGCTGGTGTGGGCTTGCCAGGGGTGTCTAATTGCAGTGTAGATGTACCCTTAGTCAGCCTGAGTATGGGATGGGCCCATCACAAGTTACGCAAGTCATCCCAAATGCATGCCAATCAAAAAATTGATAAAAATTCATAAAATACTACCCCCGTCAGACATTTGACATAGCCTGTATGTATTACAGAAATAGAATTTTAAGAAGTTTGAGAAACCATTTAGTGCCAATATTTATGATTTCTATAAAGCCAGGCTTCCTTAGTACAGCACCACAACTGCACAAGCTTTAGAGGAAGAATTGTATACATAACATATTGCCCAGCTTGCACCTCAGAGCCGCATGACTTTGAGACAAGGGTGGGAGGGCGTTGCCTTTCATTTCTAGAAGGCAAGAAGGAGCATTTCTATGGCAGATTGCTTTTTTTAAAAAAAATTTGGCTTCTGCTTGAAGCTAGTCAGTTCTGAAATTTAAGTAGAAATGAGATCAGAATAACGTTAATTCATGTTACTCAGCACCACACAGTTGACAGGGACAGTACCCTCTGCTCTACCAATGCTCTCAGCCTTGTTCACTTTTCCTTCAGCTTTTCATGAAACCACCTCCATGCCTTCATCCACATGGACCCCCATGCATGGTACAGCTCAAGCTCATCTGCAGTGCTGTTGCCCTGCCACAACCAAATTCATCTTGAAGACTCCTGCCATGGTGCTGATAGTGAATTAAGATGACCTGTATGTGAGGAGCATGTTGTGCCTGTTGCCTATATTCCTCCTCCATGGTCCACTGAGGGTGCTCACTCAAGGGTCCTCAGAGACCCATGTCCCTCTCCCTCCTGATTGTGGTTTTCCCAGGCTGCACAGTTCCCTACCTAAACTGTGCTATTCTCAGCAAGCCAGACTGCCTAAACAAGCTAGCGTCTGCACTTTACTTTCTCCCCAGAGGCTAAAAACTTATTGCCACAGTAATAAGTTACCAGATCTTTCTAAGCAAGCACATTTATTCTTAAGGTGTGAGCATTATAAAGAAAACATATGAAAACAATAAAAGAACCTACACGCACACAAAAAGTTTACCATAGATTACCCCCCAACTCCAATCTAGTTCTCTGATAGGTATCAGTGCTTCAAAACCCACAACTGGGTTTCCCCCATGGTTACAAGTTCATAACTGTCTCAGATTCAAAGCTACAATGAATAGCTCTGTCTTTCCTTTATACAGCTTGGGTCTTTGATCTTAATCTCTTGTAACAAGTAATCAGCAGACAATGGCCCACCCTTGAAGGCACAGCTTCAAAAGGCTGCGTTTCGGTGTAATTGGAGGTGGGGAATTTGCATTCACCACCACCTACAGATTCCCCAGGGAAACCACTGAACACACTTTGTCCCAAAAGTGCATTCTTGTGTGGTACATTGTTCAATATAGTCCTTTGAACACCCAGATCTCACATCGCATCCCCTCTCCCCCGAGGGGTTACATACAATCCCAGCCCACAATAAAACAAACCATTCATACATTCATTCATACAATGGACCCCAAAGATACTTAAAGTTAATCCAGTAAGGTCTCCCAAGGATATAGCAGGAAAATGCATATCTTTCACACGTTTCCTTTCCCCTAACCTCCGTGCACTTGTCTATCCTTACACTGTAAGCTCCTCAGAGCAGAGATCATGTTTCAGTGTTTGGAAAGCACCAAGCACATAGTGAGCACGACCATAAAAGCACAGTAAGTCATAATAATAATAATGTGGAATATGTGAAATGGCTGCGGGTAATTTTTTCATATTTTATAAAACGCCATACACATTTATGATGCTGTATAAATAACATGTAGGCAATGTTATAGTACAGTTAAATTGATCTTAGGCACTACTTGCTACAGTAAGTAAATAAGTGTCAGACAGAAAAGTGGGATTTTTTAATACACTGCTTCTCTTTAGAAATAAATTTACACTCAGGAACAAAATAAAGTTTACAAACACTCAAAAACAGGAGTAACAGTTCTTCTAGCTATAAAAGTGTTCTTGAAATTTATTCTTCACATTCAAGGTCTGTAGTTTAATTGTTTTGTATGCCTGTGCTTGACTTATTGGTGCAATTGTTCACTGACATTTATTTCCATATTGCCAAGGTGATCAAAAACAGCTCTGAAAGGAAGATGTTGAGTTAATTATACATATGCTGTATTTTTAAGTCTTTTTAGTTTTTATGTTATAATATGACTATTTATTAATGTCACTGCAGTGTTCTTATACAGCATATTTTGTTTCCTTTAAATCACTCTTACCATGAGTTTATCTAACACAGTGTTTCTCAAACAGGGGCCACCGCTTGTGTAGGGAAAGCCCCTGGCAGGCCGGGCCGGTTTGTTTACCTGCCCCGTCCGCAGGTCCGGCCGATTGCGGCTCCCACTGACCGCGCTTCACCGCTGCAGGCCAATGGGAGCTGCTGGAAATGGCGGCCAGTATGTCCCTGGACCTGCACCGCTTCCAGCAGCTCCCATTGGCCTGGAGCAGCGAACCGCGGCCAGTGGGAGCCGCGATTGACTGGACCTGCGGACGGGGCAGGTAAACAAACCGGCCTGGCCCGCCAGGGGCTTTCCCTACACAAGCGGCGGCCCCAGTTTGAGAAACACTGTTCTAACATGTTTTGAAATTCATAAGGAAAAAAACCTGGAGTTCCTCCTCCCAGTCAAAACTAGCGTTCTACCCCTTTAAATATTTATGCACATCAGTTTATTTACACACATGAATAGTCCTATTGAACTCAGTGGGGAAATCACATGTTTAACAGTTTGCAGGATTAAGCCTGCAAAATTACCCAAATTAGCAACCCTCTGCATGTGGAACGGCCAGTAACTTCAGGCAGATTTTTTCAGAAAGGCTGGTCCTGCAGACAAACATGCATGTAGTGCTCTGATTGACTCCCTGTTACTTCAATGAGATTTACATGAGTAAAGTTACTCACACTGAGTACCTGGTTGCAGGAAAAGGCCCTGTAAATACTGTGTAAGGAGCAGGCCCCAAGCAAATACTGGAAGATTTGACCCTAAAAGTAGGGCTTACTCTGTTAAACCGTTTGTGGCAAAGCCAGCTTCATTCTATATATCGCATTCTTTGCACTTATCTTCTTTGTAACAACAGGAAGGTTTATTTTTCTTTCATCTTTGCTTGCTTCTTATTTCTTTTCATCTTGCCTTCGTTGCACATTTGCTCACACAGTTGCCTTGTTTTTTGTTCACGGTCCAGAATTTCTTTTGGGAACAGGCTCTTCTCATCAAATATAGCTTTCAATGCTATAAAACAGGAATTAAATTCACATCAAAAATCAACTTTACTCATGTTTGGTAAGATGCACTGTTAAAAAGAAAGCCACTAGAGGAGGGGGCGGGGGGAAACAGAAACAAAACCAGAATAAATCTGAGAGAACAATACTGACTTTTTGCTTCCAGATCTGCTAAGAGAAGATTGTGGCTCTTTGGAAATTACTTTACATTTTGCTCTTCCTTTTTGGCTTAATCTGTACATTAAGCATTTAGGCCCAGATTCTGCAAAGGATGCCCTGTGGGTGGAATCCTGTGCCTACATAGTCTACTCATATGGAGTGCTCATTCTAGAATCTGCACCTTAAAATTCCAGTCTGCCTCTGAAGATATGAAGCTATGAATCCTCTAGCTGAGAGGGAGAAAGAACAGAGGTTGTTGTGGTTTTTAAAAACAAAAAAAAAAACACTGTTCTTTTAATTTATTTTAATCTCTTCACTGCTGTTAAAGGGTCATAAAAAGCTGAAATCAAATTATCCTGTATTGAAACAAAAGAATTTAAACTGCTAGTTGACTATCTGCATGACTGAGCAAGTGTATCCTACAATCATGTATTTGGGTGCACAGCTGTCTGGTTTTCAGGGATCTCTAGTCCAAGAACAAGGACCAAATTCTGCCCTCTGGTGTGTATATGTCCCTTCCATTAAAATCAACCCAAATGAAGCATTAAACAATATTTACTGAGTTGCTACCCTGATGCCTGAGAACATCTCTATGAGTAGCTCAGAGATAGGAGGCATACCTGGACCATTCCCATGGAAGAAGGGAGGCCCAAAGAATTCATTAACTTGATAAGGCGTTATATATTCCTGTGTTGTTACCCAGGTGATGCCTTGATCATTTTAAACTAATCAGAATATGTACCTGAGCTATTAAGATTGTGGATATGGCTTAATCATTACACATAGATGTATGTTTACTTGCATTTTAACAAGCTTTCTACATAGGGATTGAGCAATATTCCCAAATGACCGTTAACAGTGCAGAGACCATAAAAATAATCATAAGTGCACTAAAACTAACTGTGCACTGCTCATTACTTCTTAAGCAAGAAGCTGCATCCTTCATGCAGAGTAGGCGATAAGGAAGTACATGGCTCAAAGAATTAAGAGCATAATTTTCACAGGTGCTGAATATCAGCAGCTCACACTGACTTCATCTAGAGTCATGAGGCTTGAAGTCAATGGGAATCTCTCTATTGACTTCAGTGGGCTTTGGACAAGATCCTTAATGAATTTTAAATAATTTACCATATCCTGATATTAAACAGAACCAGAAACAAAGGGAAATGGAGAAAAGACTAATTAATACATTATCTGTGTTTAATACATAATTAACTTGTAATTTACTAATTGGCAAATTTCTGAAGAAATTAGAGAGCAGTTCTAAAATCATTCAGAATATATTTGGAGTTTACATTTATTATATCTAGGTATGTGACTGAGCGTGAATAATCTTGACTATGATTTGTTGTTATTAATACTTAGGGGAAACAATTGGGCATTTAGGTCCTGATCTAAAGGCCACTGAAGTCAATGGGAGTGTTTCCATTGGCTTCAATGGGTTTTGGAGCAGGATATCAAACAGAGTAAAGGTTAGACTTTGCAAGTGGATCCACACATGCAGACCTCTGCATGTGTGCAAATTCCCCACCTCACAGGGGTTTTGCGAGGATAAATACACTTTCAGGTTGTAAGGTGGTCAGATACAACAGTAGTGGGGGCTATATAAGTGCCTTGGACAGGCAGAATTCCCATGACATCAGTGGGACTCTGCAGAAGATCAATGGTGCGCTTGTGCACAGGCCTTAATTCAACAAGATAATCAAGCACATGCCTAACCTTAATGGAACTTCAATATGGCTACTAACGTGCTTACAGTAAGTCACTTGCTTAAGTACATGCAAGATAAGGCCTAACTGTTGACATTTTTAAAAAAATTCTCACCTTGATTTTGGTAACTGATAGCCCATAACTACTAATTGACACAAGCTGACTGACCCAACAAGAATCTATATTAAAGATCCATGTTTGGCTAATAGTTGCTTTCCCAGATTAGTGAGAAGCCATCACCACTTTATTATAAACTTTGATTTACTAAGTGTTATCTTTGTGACATTTGATTGTTAGTTTTATTATCTTTGTACCTACCTAATTACACCTAATTCAATTCTTGTTATTACACATTGGATTCCCCCTCTTTACTTTTTGTGTTTGTATGTTATTTTGGTTAATAGAATAGAATGTACATATCGAAGTGTAAAATCTGCTTCTTTAGTCTACGCATCAAGAATTTCAGTTGGATTAATGAGAAGAGGTTGGAATCAGTCACACATAAATAGAACCCTACTATTCCACACCTGAATCTTTCACAGGTGCAAGACAGAGAGACAAAGCGAGAGAGAGAAAGAGAGAGAGAACACCGGTGGGTTGGTAAACATACACTGAGAAAAAAAGATATTTTTGCCAGCTGGGAACAGGCACCTGACTAGTAAATGAAGTTCATGTGGCAATTAATCCAACTGCAAGATATAGATTACAGAAGCAATCTTTAAAATTAAAATGTAGACATGCAATGCCAAAATTTGGCCTTGCTGATTCAGCTGCAAAGGCTTTCATTTAATTGGTTCATCCCCCCGACACACACACACACTCTCTCAATGCTTTCCTCATACTTCTCAATTGATCCCTGCTATCTGGCTCACACAAACCTGACAGTACCTCACCTATAACCATAAATTATTGACATTAAAATAGCTAAATTTTGTAGATAAGCCTTATCAAATAAATAGTACAATGATGTGTTTTACAACAAGCCCTAAATGCTACAGGAGGATGGTTAGCAGTGATGTTTCAACATCAGGATTTCTGAAGGAGCAGCAGAAAGGAGAAGCATTAGGGAGTCATCAGGGAAAGTGCCAGAGAGAGTGCAGTCACAATAAACAATCAGACAAGCCAATTTTCTTTATGGATCAACATTTAAGCAGTTATATAAACCTTGTCAAAAAAGTTAGCTTGGTTTTGTGTCGGAGGGAAAAGTATAGGTTGGCAAGAGGTACAGACAACCCATATGTATTTTAAAGAACATTCCGATGTAATAGTTATTTTATTGAGGATTCATTTTGTGATTGTTTTGTAGGAATATGTAAAGCACAGTGTAATGGCCCAAGGGCACTCTGTAATGATAGAGTATAGCAGTAAATGTTTTCTCCAGTCAGCCTGGATAGAATTGCTCTGCACTTATCTTTTCACCATTTCCCTCCTTGTTTCATTGAATTTTTGGTTTTCATGAGTGCTTTTGCTATTGCCAGCCATCTGAAGATTCAGAAGTTGGGTGCGAAAAGCTGACTGAAGAATTGTCTCTTTCTGCCATTTCTCAAATGGGGCTACATCAGAGATGGCATTGTTCCTCATGCTTATCTGGAGACCCTCCTGCCCCATCTGTCACCTCCTGTCTTTTTTTGATTGTCAGTGGGAAGGAGACCAGTGTATGCTATGAAAATGTCCTTAAAGGGGGACTCCTCAGCATACTACCAGAAACATCCCACTTTATGGGGACACAAATCAGCTTAGCAGAAATTTACTGGTATTGCCCTCCAAATCTCTCTCTCACTGGGATCGGTTTGTCAAAACCTGTTAAAAATAGGATTGTTCTTTTCTGCCAAGAACAGAATCAGAAGTGAATGCTTCAGAGTAATCCTGTCTATGAACATTTAGGGCCTGATTCAAAACCTACTGAAGGAAAGACCTCCCATTGACATAGACTGCGGTTGACTTTGGATCAAGCCCTTACAAAATAAGAAGCTGTTCAAATAGGATTATGTGTCCTGCTGCTGTGTTGAAGCCCCAGATCAGCAACTAAGCAATAAATCTTAGAGTTCTCTATTACCTTCATCTTATTTTCGCACAGATGGCAAAAGCTAGTGACCTTTATTTTTGCCTTTCTGTACTGAAAGCTGGAGTGATGCGAATATAATCAAGGTCTACTTACTTTCTGAAAGAGTAGGGAGCTTCAGATTTTCAGGGCACTTCTCCTCAGTCATTTCCCCGAAGTATTTGTCAGGGTTTAGAACAAAGTCAGGCTTGTTCATTTCAACAACTGCCTCGAGGGCTCCAATATTTAATGACCTAAAAGTTCCTTTAAAATAGCAGGATGATTGAAAAACCAGAATTAATTCCACATAACAGCCCAATTGTATTTCTAAGATAAGGTAATTTTTCTTGTCTATCTTCATTCATATTACTGCACTTGTGCTGCTATAATACTCAGAGACAAGAAACATTCAGCTCTGTAAACACAGCTGTACAGATTAAATCCACGATCATTTTTATTTGAAACAACCAGAGAAAGCTCAGGATTGTTGGTTCTTAGCTAAGAATTTAAGGGGGGAAAAAAACACCCAGTTTTCACTTGGAAGTGACACTTTTCACAAGTAAATTTGGATACTCTCCAATTTCTTCTCTGTAATACATAACATCCTCCAGAAAATACAGAGTAAAAATAGTTTTGCTTACCTATTTAAATAAAACCAAAGAAAATGGATCAGGTTTCTAAAGATAATTAACAATGTTAAGGGCCACCCAATGAGTCCATACTGTGAAATTGCAAATGCTAAAACATTTTCAATTATTTCTTAAATATGTAATTCAATGTAATTTGAAGCAAACTACATTTGCACTTGATAAAATTAGATAATATTTATGTAGCACATCTCAGCCAAATCAATGGTGCCCCAACCTCCTTTACGCTGCATTGGCCATATTTGAAAGTAGGGATGTCTAACGTACACCTGTAAGAAATGAATGTGCCACCACCCACAAATCATGTAGCTCATTGAGTTCACTGCAAATTGGACCTATATGTCTCCACCTGGATTCTTTCTGCAGGAGAGCAGGTCTTAGTGCAGACATCTATTGTAAGATGGCCCAAGGAAGAGACTAGAACCGTTATTAACTCCCTATCAGTAAAAATAACTCCATTACCTTTGGTTCTGGCTCAGACTTGCTCCCCAGGAAAGACCCCGTAAGATTCTGTACTTACAGATATGCAAGATAACTACTGAGGTTGTGAAGTCAAAATGGCTGTTTACCAGTGGAGTTTTGCATGGTCTTCCCATTGAAGAACTTATGTTTCTTTCCTTTCTGGATTTTGCTTTCTTTGTATTTTTTACCCAATATTGTGTTTTCCCATGGACTGAACCTAGGAAGATACAAATGACTCTTTTTGGCCAAAATTTAAAATCAAAAACAAAATGATAGGCATCTATTTTGTCTCCTCCTGCAGTTTCTATTTTTATCCTTTGCCTGGCATATGTTATCATGCATTCAAAGGGTCACATCTTTCTGTGCCCATATATGCTGATTGTCAGAATATAGCGCATGTGTATAGCTCCATATGGCTTTTGTTTCAGTAACCATATGCTACATGACTACATATAATCTTATAGGGCCTGATTAGAAGTCTATTGAAATCAATAGAAAGGCTCCCATTGACTTCAATGGGTGTTGGATTGGGCCCATAGTCATTTTTATTATTCATGTGTAAAATGACTATCTAATGATTGCAAAAATCTCTTTGTAGTGAATGAGAGACGTTTTCTTTCACTAAGATCCTATGAGAGAAAGCACTTTTAGGCCATTTACCAAGACTCCGATCCATCCTCCTAGACTGAGAGTAAGCTCTTTTCCTTGTGACTATAACTGGGCAGAGAAAGGTCATTCTGTTTCGCAGAGGATTTCAAAATTTGGAACAAAACCCCGAAATTTTGAAGTTCTCTGAAAAAGGGAGTGTAGTACCAGCTCTGGGGCCTTGTAGCCTACCCAGAGCTATAGACCTGGAGCCCCAGGCTGCCAAGGAACTGGGCCAATGGGCTAGCAGGAAATTTGGCAGACAGGTTTTCATTGGAACTTTGGCCAAAATCAAACCCTCTCTGTGAAACGTTTTGATTCTCTCAAATCAGAATATTTTGAGAAAATAATGTTTTGTTGGATTTTTTATGACCAGCACTACTTTCCATCCAGACTCACTGTCATTCTATTAAAAAATAATAAATATGATTAACCTACTACCCGAGCTACAGCCTCATGATATTATAGGTCTACAAAGAGAATGTGCTGTAAAGGAGTGTCACTGTTCCTTTAATGCTTTGGAACCACATCAAGATGTTCTAGTAATAAGTACTAAGAGGCCCCACTTCTGATGCATCTGGCCCTGACTGAGGATGTAATGGCTCCCAAGACTACATACTAGTGAAATATTTACTAGAGTACACAGACGCCATTCTCCTTTCTCATATGCTTGTATAGAGGTATTAGAATTGGAACAATTCCACCTCTTTGTCTTCAGGTGCTTCTGAAAAAAATCAGCTCTCTCTCAAGAGAAGTCTACTAAACCACCTGTTCTGCTCCAGGGTAGAAGGGAAATCTGGCGTTTCTCCAAGCACACATTTAGTATGTTTCTGAAAATAGCAGAATCTGCAATCTTACTGAACCCAGAGATTTTGCTGGGGAGCATTTGGAGCATGCTTAAGGCAAGGTATGTTCTCATTGTTATACTGCAGTGGTTCAACTTTGATTATTTTTTAGCAGTTTTTTTCATTTTCTATGAAAATATTAAAACCTGTGGATTTTGGGCCTGATTCAGATGTCATTTACCACAAAGTAAATCAGGAGCTACTGTACTGAAATCACTGGAATTGCTCTAAGATTAGAACGAGATCCGTTATATTTAAAGCTGCTGCTCACCACAATAAATACTTATCACTTGCTCTTTAATCTTTAAGAACGTACTGCTATGCTCTGCACAAACAATCTTATCTATCACAAAAATGCTGTTAATTTTAATCCATTTTGTTCATACTTTGTTGACGTTATCTGACATTTCTAATAATCTCATGTAAGAATATAACCTTTTAAAACCTTTTATTAATGTAAATGTTTCATGCTATTACATTCAGGAAATTATTTAAGCCAAAAAAGGACTTGTGTACAGTTTAATTTTACTGCTCTTATGCCTTGACACAGTCCATGTTACAAAGAGTCATTAAAGTTTTAAACATTTAGGAGTACATTGTATTTTCTCAGAGATATAGACCTAACTACTTGAGCATTAAGAACAAATATAAACCCTCGGAATGGGAGGTAATGAATTGCATGCTTATTATGGTTATGATAGAAGGAACAGTGTAGTCTAAAAATATATCACTAAAGCAGCATAAAATTTGTCAGGAAGTAATTCAATTACAGAGAGTTTTAAAATGCTTAACAAACTAACACATACCACGCTAGGGCTCATTTATAGGAAAGAAGCATGGCCTAGTGCGGTGTTTCCCAATCTTGGGACACCACTTGTGTAGGGAAAGCCCCTGGTGGGCCGGGTCAGTTTGTGTACTTGCCGCGTCCGCAGGTTCGGCCAATCGCGGCTCCCACTGGCCGCGGTTCGCTGCTCCAGGCCAATGGGGGCTGCGGGAAGCAGTGGCCAGCACGTCCCTCGGCCCACACTGCTTCCAGCAGCTCCCATTGGCCTGGAGCAGCGAACCGCAGCCAGTGGGAGCTGCGATCGGCCGGACCTGCGGACGTGGCAGGTAAACAAACCGGCCCAGCCCGCCAGGGACACAAGCGGCGTCCCAAGTTTGGGAAACACTGGCCTAGTGAATTAAGCATTGACTTGGACTCAGGACACCTGAGTCCTGCTTCCAGCTCTTCCACTGGCCTGCTGTGTCAGTTCACTTCTCTGTCTCACTTATAAAGTATATAAAACAGTAATATAATGGGGGGAAAATAGAAAGTATAATCAAACTTAACCCCTTCATAAAGCATTCTGAGATCTACTGACGAACAGAAAGAGCTAGGTGGTATTATAACATAGGGGCACTCCAGGAGGAATTCTGTGCAGAGACACTGAGGCTCTGTCCCTTCAAAGGGTACGTGATTTTCTGACAGAAAAAACACTTTTGCAAAATTGACATTTTCTGTGGGGAAATTTCGATTTTGCCCCCCAAAAAATTTGATTTTCCATCGGGCAACAAACCACAATGAAACATTTCAATTTTGGGAATGTAGAAATATTTCATTTTGATCAAAAATGAAGAAATAAAACATTTCAAAAATTCCAAATAAAAATGGTTTGGAATTTCTGTTCCACAATAAATAAATAAGTAAACACATACAAAACAAAAAGCAACTTTTTTTGTCTCGATTTGGATGAAAACAAACTTTTAAAAAAAATATGCCAAAGCCTGCCATTGCAAACCCCCTTTTGATAAATGACTTACATGTTTACAGATTCCTCTTTGTCTTCCATACCAAGTATAGCTCGTTCCGGGGGTTTAGGAGATGGCTCTCCTCCAAGAACAGGGGCTTCTTTTTTCTTTAGAACGTCATCTTTTTCTTCCCTTTGGCCCACATTTTCATCTTGATTTTGCTCTCCTTTGGGGTGGGAAGGAGTATTTTCAATTCGCCAGTGCTCTTCCTAATAAGCAGACCAGAAAGCATTTTAAAGCGCTCAGAATTAGAAATATTTATTACTTTTTTTTTAAACCCCTTTCATATAGAAGTACCCCCAGATGCAAAGTTTTAAAATGGGTATTGGTTTTCATTATTTTCCTGCATACTTATGTGAGCAACTGGTCCCCTGGACCCAGATCCATATTATTTACATTATAGTACCTCATAGAGAAGTGATGAGCAACCTGCGGCTCGTCAGGGTAATCCGCTAGCAGGCTGCCAGTTAGTTTACATTTGCAGAGCCGCCCGCAGCTCCCAGTGGCTGCGGTTCATCATTCCAGGCCAATGGGAGTGGTGGCCAGCACGTCCCTGTGGCCTGCACCGCTTCCCGCAGCTCCCATTGGCCGGGAACGGCAACCGTGACCACTGGGAGCTGCGGGCAGCCATGCAAATGTAAACAAACTGTCTGGCGGCCTGCCAGCAGATTACCCTGACAGGCCGCGTGTGGCTCATGGGCCACAGGTTGCCCATGGGCCACAGGTTGCCCATCACTGTCAGAGGCTACACCCAAGATTAGAGTCCCCATTGTGCTAGGCACTGTATAAACACAGAGACTGAGACAAACACAAGACCCTGCCTTGAAAAACTAAGAATTTGAGCTAGTTCAACAAATTCCCCCCCCCACACCCACCAAAAATATAGTGTAGTTTCTTGTGAAAATAATATATACTTTGATTAAATGTTTCACATTGCTGATCAGAAAAATTGAAGACTTTCATAGCAACGTCAGATAATTTCTATTAAAAATATCAGTTTTCTGTTTCAGCATTTCTGATTTGAAACTTTTTCAGAATTTTTCATTTCTCAAAAAATTCTGATATTTTGACTCTCTGTTCTTATTTGGAACAAAAACTAATTTCAAAAAGCCACAATTTCCCCCAAAAGGGATAAATCCATTTTCCTAGCACCTCTACTAACAAACTTAACAGAAGCTGGTAACATTTTTAATGTTTTAGGCAGTGAAGGAATGAGTGACTATGATGGGGTGGATAAACCCCATACTCGAGAGTTAAGGACACAGGAACAACTCTGGCCCCAGAAAGCCCCACCCCCATAGCCCTGCTCCAGTTGGAGGAGGGACTCAAAAGGGAGTGTCTTCAGCACAGCAGGGTGGCAGGCAGAAAGAGGCAGAGCTGCACTCAACTGCTGCAGAGGGACTACACCAGGGAGGCCTCCTCATGGGGATAGCTTCTGAACAGAGCCAGGAATCCCTAGCCTGCTGAGATCCCCAGATTGCCAAGGACAGGTGCCAGTCATGATGCACCCGGATGGTGGGAGCAGAGCAGTAGGAAGGGACGCAGAGGACAGTGTTCACTGGACCACAGGTAGCAGATTCCTGCTTTATAGTGCTCAAGAGGACCTGGGTGGGAAATCCGGTGGAGTGGGAGGACCCAGGTTCCCCTACCCCCATATCACTAGGTGGACTCTTACCACTAGGTGGGGAGGCTCGCCCCACTCATAGTGACTAAATATGATACATTAAATTATTATTTATTCTTATTAGAGCTATGATGGTTTCACAATGTTACATCTGTTCTTCTTAGAAAACATGTCTCCATGATTCAGATAGTATCTACTGGAGCTGAAACATGGCTTCAGGAGTAGTAGTAGGTAAGAAAAAGTCAGCGGTGACTAAAGCTGGACAGTAAACGATTTTCCTGCCCTACAAAAGTTTTCCAAATCAGGCAGAGCAGGGACTTGAATCTGGGTCATCCTAACCACTTTCTCTCTAGCCCATTGGTACAAAGTTGTGCAGCTTCAAGAGAAGAGGTTGAGAGAAGCCTAACATAGAATAGCCAGTAGCCTATGGTTTAAGTCAGTCACCTGTGCTGTGCATACCCAGGTTCAAATCCCTGCTCTAAATCAGCTATTGGGAGGAGGGGAGTATCTTTCTCTCTTGTTTTGACCAGAAGTTCCACCCTGGACTTAAGAAGCCTTCCCCAATAAAAGTTTTGTCAGAAACAATTACATTTCCATGAAATGTTTTATCATTTTCCAACTAAAAACCATTTTGTCAGGAAATTCCTGGCCAGCTCCAGTAGTGACTCAATCTTTGCCCAAAACTTGAGTGAGACTGAAACCAAGCATTCTGAACTTAAATAAAAAGTGTGGATAACTTCCTAGCCACATGTATGTTTTCATTTGCATTCGATTTTCCCAGACAAGAATTCAAGTAGAAATGCCAAAATCTAAAGAGAAAATCTGTTCAAGATATTTCTGCTATGTCCTGCACAGAAATAGCAAACATGGTTAAACTGAATGGCAGACCCCCACAGGACTGCTCTGGCAGTACAGAAGCTGATGTGAAGGACCAGCAGTGAAGCAGTTAATTAAAAAGTCATCTCTCTGGAAGTGAAGCATTCTGTGTCAGCCAGCACTACCCATAAGAGTTGCTAAGAGAAGTGTTTCTACCTGGCCAAATATTCCAATTGTTGTACCATACACATCACTAAGAACAACACTGCAGTCTGAAGAGGAGGAGAGGATGAGCAGGCAACTGCTTCGCACACAGGTCTCCAGATAAGTAACACAGTCATCGTGTGGCTGAAACGATCTTATCAGGGGAGGTGGCTGGGTTACTTTGTTCTCACTGGAACCAAGGCAGTAGTCCTGGTGAAAAGGAAATGGCAGTTATCTGAGGAAGGGGGATATTTTGGATCTGGAGATCTTCTGAGCAGGGTCCACAGCGTGCTGTGTGTGATAGATGGAGGGGCAAACCCCGCCCTTGAAGGAAAGATGGGAGCAAATCTCTCTAAGATTTTCTTCCCCCTGGGTTTTAAAGAAAAATGTGACACTTCTGACATCAGGCTTTGTATTAGGTGCATGGCTATAGGCACCCCAGGTCTGATCCAGCACCCACTGAAATCAATGGAAAGACTCCCACTGACTTCAATGGGTACTTTAGGCCCCAAGTTTGAAAATGTTGGTCAATCTTTTTCCTTTGTTAGAAAATAGGTAAAACCCAACTTATTTGCAAGCTAAATATGAGTCAACAGTGTGATGCTGTTGCAAAAAAAGCAAACATGATTCTGGGATGTATTAACAGGTGTGTTGTTGTGAGCAAGACACGAGAAGTCATTCTTCCGCTCTACTCTGCTCTGGTTAGGCCTCAGCTGGAGTATTGTGTCCAGTTTTGGGCACTGCATTTCAAGAAAGATGTGGAGAAATTGGAAAGGGTCCAGAGAAGAGCAACAAGAATGATTAAAGGTCTTGAGAACATGACCTATGAAGGAAGGCTGAAAGAATTGGGTTTGTTTAGTTTGGAAAAGAGAAGACTGAGAGGGGACATGATAGCAGTTTTCAGGTATCTAAAAGGGTGTCATAAGGAGGAGGGAGAAAACTTGTTCACCTTAGCCTCTAAGGATAGAACAAGAAGCAATGGGCTTAAACTGCAGCAAGGGAGGTCTAGGTTGGACATTAGGAAAAAGTTCCTAACTGTCAGGGTAGTTAAACACTGGAATAAATTGCCTAGGGAGGTTGTGGAATCTCCATCTCTGGAGATATTTAAGAGTAGGTTAGATAAATGTCTATCAGGGATGGTCTAGACAGTATTTGGTCCTGCCATGCGGGCAGGGGACTGGACTCGATGACCTCTCGAGGTCCCTTCCAGTCCTAGAATCTATGAATCTATGAATCTATCCCAACAAACTGGGCACATGAGAAATACAAAAAGAGAGGCAAATATTTTCCTTGTACCTGTATATTCCATATTTTCACCCATCCAGCTAGATCCCCCGTTATGAGGTATTGACTCATTTTATCAATGGTCATGATAATGGATCCAGCTCTACTGTGGGCTTCAAACTCTGCCATGAGCTGGCTTTTCAAGGTATTCCAAAACCTAACATAGCCAGCACCTCCACATGACACTAAGTTTGCTCCACCTAAAACACAGAAATGTGGCTGAATAAGCAGAAAGAATCATCAGCTTTCATTATTACAAGCAATTCTCTGTTATGCCTGAACCCGTATTTTTATTTTTGTCACTGTTTTAATATTGTGCAGAGCACCTTGACACAGTAAACTCCAGTCACATGAAATATGTTTTACTCAACAGATATTTGAGGTATGCAGTTCAGAACAATACTGACAAAACAAAGTCTAGTACTAGAAACACTCTTTAGAAACCTGTTGTTAACCTTTTTCATGAATATTGTGATACACTGTAATCTTTATGTAACTGGTTTTCTTTACCTTTCTTTCAAAAGGAACCCTGGTCAATCAATTTATGTTATAGATACAGAAAAAAACCCCTAAATAGTGCTTTTAATAACAGATTTCCAGATAGTTTCAGATCAATCTGCAGACGCTTTCCAATTGGCTTTGCAAATATATGATGTTGACTCAGAAAATGCCTGGTTAAAGCAGCAAAAGTTATAATTTATGTTCTTAAAGGCAGAGCTGCATATACCAGTGCGAAACCAAATTCTGCCATGACTTGCATCTAGTGCAAGCTCGTTGAAATTAAGTGGAACTGCAGGGGGTATAAATCAATACCCAGTTTGGATCTCTGTATGTAGACAGGCTTCAGATACAGACCCGTTCTGCTGGATTATTTAAATTTACTCTCAATATGAGTTTTGGGCAAATTAATTCAGATGACAATGAGAATGGATGCAAAACAAAAGAACATTGTTTGAAGAATATTCTAACATGCTATAGGAGAAATATTGTAAGGTCTTTTTTGAGGGGCAAGAAGGAAAGGAAACTGTGAAAGCAATAATCAGTTATCACTATTAATAATGAGCTTTTCCAAGTACTGTTGTTCAGTATGGGCAAAGTAAGCAGAGCCATGATTCTACTGTGTAGAAATTACTTTACGGTACCTGTCACTGAAATATTCTTTCTAGCTTCTAGGAACAGAAGCTTAGTAATAGCATCGTTGCACTCAGTGTCAGTGTCATAGAAGTCAGCTACAGACATTGTATGTCTTCTAGAGGACATTCTTCGAGCAGAACTAAGTTGCTGTTGTAGTAACAGAGTATCTGTAAGAGACGTTCCGTATTATAAAAGGGATTTATGTGTATAAGTAGACATGTCAAAAACACTTGGCATCTGATTTTTTTCAAGTTTTTTTATCTGTTACTTTATGAATTCAAGCTAAATCTTTCGGCTGTTCATGCTATTAAAACTATTTATGTGAGCCAAATTCTGCCACCCTTACTCTTGGTGAGCAGTATCTTATCCTGCAAGCTGCCCTTTAGATTTCAATAGCACTATTCACAGAATAAGGTTTTTACTCAGCAGTAGAAATGGTGGATTCTGGCTCTATGAGATTTCCAGTCTCCTCTTTAATGAGCACAAAATATATTAACTAGCTCATTTTCTATTGCCAGCAGCTGGATCAATGAGTTACATACATAATTTGTATTATGAACAAATACCTATTTGAAGAGAAGCTTTCCCCAATTATGGGGGCCAGATCCTCAGAGGGTATAAAATGACATAGCTCTATTCATGTCAGTGCAGATGTGCCAGTTTACACTGTCTGAACATCTGACCTATGATCTCTGCGGAATGTTTACTGAACAGCAGGACCATTAAGGGTCACTTAGCTGTAATATGATCTGCACTGCCTGGACCAGATCTTCATCTGATTAAAGTCAGCGTGTTTCAATGCAGCTATGCCAATTTACATCAGTTTAAGATCTGCTCCTTTGGGGTTTAGACCCTTTAAAGATCAGAAAGCTCATATAATGGTAGTTCCTTTGCCATATCTACTGTATTCACAATATTTTAAGCATTCTCACTCTGAAGTGTCTTGCTCATTATAAAGGGACACTCCATCAGCTATTCCTGATGAGTAGTGTATGTGCAAATAAGAAATGAATTTCAAGACGTGATATATATATATCAGTATTTATTCCCTCCACAAAACTTGGAGGAAACCTAAGGAAGTCTAAATAAGAACTATAGAAGGTTTTTTCCAAGCCATTTTCCTTATGCTCAGATGCGTGCTGCCATAAAATGTACTACAGATTACAGTGGGGAATAATTATAGATTTCCAACTGGCATGGTGCTTAATATATGTTATGCCACTAGTCTGTGCAGACTATCAACCCAGTGAAGTTTTCAGGTTCTGGGTAGCCTCAAGGGTAGCAGCCTCTCCAAGGTTCAGTTGATATTATTTATTATCCAACACTGAACAAGGCAAAAATTAAGGGAATGCTCCCTGCTGAAGGTAATAATATAAAAATGCTGGTGTAGATCTGTGACAATAAACAGAAGCAATAGCCTTGAGATGTATAGAGAATAAACTAAAGCGTATAAAGCAAGTACAATCTCAAGGCTGCTTTGCGTCACTCTGACAAGACAAAGGTATAAATAATCCCCCTAATCTCCACTCAATTATCAGTAATTTAGTGGCACACTTAATATTATATGCATAAGGCAAACAGTATGTATGTTTTGCCTAGAGCCTGAAAGCAGTGCTGCTTCAATAAGATGCTCGCTCACCCGATTTGGATTTCAGAGATTTTTGGGGATCCAGGTAAATTTTAAGGTAAGCATTTTCTGTACTATTATTCCAGACAACAATTTCACCACCACAGCTCCCTGCATTGGACAAAGAAAAGACAACACATTGTTACACTCACTAGCCAATCTTGATCTTTCAGGCAGCTAGAAGTATTTTATTGCCAACACAGCAATATTTTCACTTTTTACGTGATAGGTCACATTACAAGGATTAGCAGGGTTTGTATTCCCATGCATCTGTAACCTTTCGATGTTTAATCCTCGCCTACAAAGGTTGCTGTAAAGAGGACATTTCTCTGGTTTTACAGAAAAGCAGGCCATGGAGAAATTGACAGATTTTCTAAGCCGTCTAGTGGATTCAGATGCATATCTTCCATTAGTTGTAATGTGTCCAAATCCCTACAATGCTTTGAAAATCTACCAATTCACAAATCAAAAAGTAACAGATCTCAGACCTCAGCCAAAGCTACCCTTAGACATAAGCAGCACAACTGACTCTCTGGAGCCCTGTGATTTTGGGTAGATTCAGCAACTAATGGCTGGAATCTATCTGCCATCAGCAGGACTGAATGAGGATGATGGCTGAAGTTCTAAATCTTGCTTTCAGTTTAACAAAATATAAGGTCAGACATGCCCTGATTTGACAAACTAAGCTGTTTACCATACATTGGACCTGATGCTATTCTCATTTCCACTGGGGTAATTCACAAGTAGTCACCGGAGATACATCTGTATGAGATCATTGTACAGCTACATCTACATTTGGAGCTGAGCTGGCTTCTCATGGAGCTAGTGCACTAAAAATAGTCACGTAGCCACAGTAACATGGGCAGTGGCTGGTTCAAAGCCAAACTAGAGCTAGGATTCCGTTTGAGACTGGAAGATGCCAGAATCTTGAGAGCTGATATTATATGTCAGGCACCCTGGGCTTATCACATGATTAGCTGCCTCTTACAAGATTTCTGCCACATGCAAACCAACAAAATAAATAAATAAATAAATAAATAAAAATAAATCTCTCCCAGTTTTTTTAGCTAACTGATAATCAAATCATTGGTTTGGACTCAGAAAATTGATTCAGAGCCTTTTCTCAGCTCTTTGCCTAAAACCATCTTCCCCCTGGACTTGAGGTTCTGGCTTATATCTAGTAGCAATAAGCATTTTTACTATTTGAGGATTATTTAGTGGCTTATGGCCTCAAATTGTACTCTGGTAAGAAATCCATATCACAAAGCTTACACTTTTTAGCCATCTCAGATAGTGCCCTTGCTAGGGACAGAGGTCGCCAGGGATATCTATTCAGTATCCTTCACAAGCACCAAATTCGAAAGGAGCCAAACCCTGCATCCCTCACTCAGTCCTCCCATGACTATCAGCAACAATCAAACCAGGGATCTTCAGCACAAACCCCAGCCACCTGGGTTGAGGAATAACTCCTCTAGCTGTTTGTAAGTAGCAGGCTGTTACTGAGCCAGCAAAGTACAATTGATTAAATATCTACTGAATTTAAGTGAAGAATAAGTCTATATGCCACCGTATTTAAATTAATTTATTATAACTGTGCCCCCTCCTCAAAAAAAGGACCCACAACATTCTAGTGTATGTAATTTTTGGTAAACTGAACCATTTATTCTCAATCTTTTCCTAATATTTAAGTCTTGATAATCCAATCACCACCTCCATAGAATTCCCATTGAGTCCAGGATAATGGGCCTTCTATTATAAATGTTTTCATGCTTTGGTACGTGAAAAATATCCAGATTTAATCATTCTGTTCAGATATGAAAAAAATGGGGCGGACTTCCCTGACCTTTTCTCCAATGAGAGTCTGATGTAACCCCATTGAAGCAAATTGAAATCCATTTGGCATAAAACAGAAGAGAACCAAAAGTGTGCTTTTCCTGTCTCCTTAAGAAGTTCTAATTTGTTCACATATTGTAAGTTATGTACCTCAGCCACCAGCATATTAGCTACGCCAGCCCATGCAGTAACAGAGTCAGCCTTGCATAATAATGATGTCCCCAAATCCCAATTCCTGGATGATATATTAGGCAATAAATATTAGGCTACCTGTAACTAGAGTATGTGGAGGTAAAAACGCAGCACATAGGATGTCATCTTGATGCTGTACTCCTCCTTTCCATTCTGCAGGCAGAACAAAAAACTGAGTCAAGTTGCTCAGTCGGAAGACAGTAATTATTCTAATAAAAGAGACATGCAAACAAAAGAAAAGCATAAGTGAACCTAGTCATATCTGACCACTTCAAAAAATGTCATTGGTATCTTTTTAATATAATCATTTACTCTAATAATCTTGAGTGGAAAAATTTAAAAGCTGTGTCCTTTTGCTTTCCTTTGTCACTGAAATTCTTCTGTGTTACAATCCAAGCATGATACTTTTAGCAGCTATTGTTCTATCACTCTGCTAAAACAAAATGCTGAATCTGTCCCCATCATAGCACATACCCCCCCCCTGCAGCATTAGTATTAAGAGGATATATTCTCTAACCAGAGCTGAGACATGATGAAACATTTTACTGATTCTAGAAAGTGTGGAAAATACAATAAAATAAACCTGCAGATTTTGACATTTCATGTGTCAAAAACTCCAAAACATATGGGATGTCATCTTCTCTCTCAAGACCTCACTTAAAATCTTTCACAGTAAGAATTTCACTTCCACATCTTCCAGTTGGGGATGCAGCAAAAACTAAGCAAAACTTATGTTCATATCCTAAATGAAGGAATCAGCCCTGCTCCCACTGAAGTCAGTGAGAATGTTCCCATTGATTCCATTGTGGTCAGCATCATACGAAGTGTCACTATTTGCAATAATGCAAAATCAAGCATTTCTTGATTTGTATGTGGTCACTAGTCTTAATGACCAACGTACTTCATGTTCTACATCAGTTAATATCAAAATTATCATTCACTTCTCCTTCCCAGTGACAGAGCAAACACTCTTCTTAATGGCATCTGTTGGCTTTGAATTAGAGACTGTTATTTAATAGAGTGTAAGAAGGCCACCACTAAATCCATTTCACTTAGATTCACAGATCAGGCATCTGACCCACTGATATAAAGATGATGGTTTGTGACAGAGAACTGTACTGGCGTTATGACTTCTAGAGTAAAAAAGTTTTTGATGGTGTCAGTTTCTCTTGGCCGGTTGGCTGTAGCTTAAGATAAATTTAGTACAACATCATACTACCTATGGGACAATGGCATAAGATTCACACCACCACATCATTTTCACCACCTGCAGCCCCACTCCAAAAGGTTCCACACAGGTAGACCCTTGCCCTCACACAGAGCTTAATGAAAACCAATGAGGTTTCCCTGGGGACAAGGCTGCCCTCATGCAGAGTTCTTTGAAGCAGACAGGAGGAGATGAGGATGGTCCAAATCTCCAGCTTCCATTTACCCACAGTCTGGCAGGGAACAAATTGAACCAGCTAACAAAAGTTCTTCCTCCCTCGCATCACAGTCGGATGAAATCCATTGTGTAAAGTTAGCACCTCTGCCTTGTCTATCAGAGGAGTGATGGCGTATGGATTATCTTTGAAGATAACCAATCATTCCCAAAAAGATCTGAGCGAGGGAATGTGATATATATAATTCAGGTAATCTCTACCAACCAGAAGTGGAGTGTGGGGGCAGGAGTAGTAACAAAAACGTGATCATCACTTTCTGGAAGGACAATCAGAAAAAGGGCTTGTTTCACTATTGGCAAAATCGGTGCTGCTGTGATCAATGCAGTGGCATCAATTTAACGGGTCTGGTGAAGACACGATAAGTCGATGGGAGAGCACTCTCCCGTCAACTTCAGTAGTCCACTTCCCCGACAGGCAGAAGCTATGTTGATGGGAGAGTGTCTCCCGTCGACATAGCATAGTGTAGACACTGCTGTAAGTCAATCTAAGCCACATCAATTTAAGTTACGTAACTTACATAATTTAACTAATGTGATTTAGATCAACTTACCTTGTTAGTTTCAGGTCAGTGTCTTTGTCCTGGTCTAAAGTGATGGACTTTCAACAGGCTGCTGGGAAAAAGCCATGCAACCTTTGCTAAAGTGCAAGTCTTTCAGTCATGTCTAATTTATAGATTGTAACAACAGGATTTATCCTCACTGCATGAGGCTTTGCATAGCATCCAGTTCCAACTTGTTTTATTCTACATAAGTTGATTTACACTGATTGTCTATTTCCAATGCCAAATAAAATATGGTCTATTTAAGAGTACTGGTATCATTGGCTACTGTTGAAGAAAATTTGCCACTAGGGGCTGGTTTTCACTATGGGGAAATCGACGCTGCTGCAATTGATACAGCATGGGTCAATTTAGCAGGTCTAGTGAAGATCCACTAAATCAATGTCAGAGCACTCTCCGGTCAAGCCCAGTACTTCACCTCTCTGAGAAGAGTAAGGTAAGTCACCAAGGCCTGATTAAATGCGTTCTAGAATACTCAAGGAGCTGACTGAGATGATATCTGAGCCATTAGCGATTACCTTTGAAAAGTCATGGAAGATGGGAGAGATTCCAGAAGACTGTAAAACAGCAAATATACTGCTAATCTATAAAAAGGGAAATGAGGACAACCCAGGGAATTACAGACCAATCAGCTTAATTTCTGTACCCGGAAAGATAATGGAGCTAATAATTAAGCAACCAATTTGCAAACATCTAGAAGATAATAAGGTGATAAGCAACATGGATTTGTCAAGAACAAATCATATCAAACTGACCTGATAGCTTTCTTTGACAGTGTAACAAGCCTTGTGTGTACGGGGAAGCAGTAGACGTGGTATATCTTGACTTTAGTAAAGCTTTTGATACTGTCTTGCATGACCTTCTCATAAACAAACTAGGGAAATGCAACCTAGATGGAGCTACTATAAGGTGGGTGCGAAACTGGTTGGAAAACCATTCCCAGAGAGTAGTTATCAGTGGTTCACAGTCATGCTGGAAGAGCATAACAAGTGGGGTCCTGCAGGGATCAGTCCTGGGTCTGGTTCTGTTCAATATCTTCATCAATGATTTAGATAATGGCATAGAGAGTACACTTAAAAAGTTGTGGACAATACCAAGCTGGGAGGGGTTGAAAGTACTTTGGAGGATAGGATTAAAATTCAGAATGATCTGGACAAACTGGAGAAATGGACTGAAGTAAATAGGATGAAATTCAATGAGGACAAAAGCAAATTACTCCATTTAGGAAGGAACAATCAGTTGCACACATACAAAATGGGAAATGACTGCCTAGGAAGGAGTTTATCTGGGGGTCATAGTGGACCACAAGCTAAATATGAGTCAACAGTGTTACACTGTTGCAAAAAAAAATGAACATAATTCTGGGATGTATTAGCAGGAGTGTTATAAGTAAGATACAAGAAGTAATTCTTCCACTCTACTCTGCACTGATTAGGCTTCAACTGGAGTACTGTGTCCAATTCTAGGTGCCACATTTCAGGAAAGAGGTGGACAAATTGGAGAAAGTCCAGAGAAGAGCAACAAAATGATTAAAGGTCTAGAAAACATGACCTATGAGGGAAGATTGAAAAAATTGGGTGTGTTTAGTCTGGAAAAGAGAAGACAAAGGGGACATGATAACAGTTTTCAAGTACATAAGAGGTTGTTACAAGGAGGAGGGAGAAGAATTGTTTTTCTTAACCTCTGAGAATAGGACAAGAAGCAATGTGCTTAAATTGCATCAAGGGAGGTTTTGGTTGGACATTAGGAAAACTTCTCGTCAGGGTGGTTAAGCACTGGAATAAATTGCCTAGATAGATTGTGGAATCTCCATCATTGGAGATTTTTAAGAGCAGGTTAGACAAACACCTGTCAGGAATAGCCTAGTCTTGCCATGAGTGCAAGGGACAGGACTAGATGACCTCTCGAGGTCCCTTTAGGTCCTATGATTCTATGAAGTCGACAGGAAAGCGTCTCCTGTCAACACAGCACTGTGAAGACACCGGGGTAAGTCGACCTAAGCTACGTCAACTCCAGCTACATTAGTCACGTAGCTGGAGTAGCGTAACTTAGGTCGACTTACCCTGGTACTGAAGATAAGCCCTCAGATAGGTGGTCTCCAACCAATAGATCGCGATTGACTTGTCGATCCTGAAGCCTCTGCCAGTCGATCGCAATCTCCGGACACTAAAAGTCCGGCAGTGCAGTGGGACTAAGGAAGACTCCCTGCCTGCCCCGGCTCCGCGCCACTCCCAGAAGTGGCCATCATGCCCCTGAGGCCCTGGGGTGGGGGCAGGGGTCTCCACGCACGGCTTCTGACTGCAAGCACCAGGGAACTGTGGCCAATAGAAGCTTCAGGGGCAGTGCCTGCACAGACAGTCAACACACGGAGCCATGTGCCCCCTCCCAGGGGCTGCAGGGGCATGCTGGCCACTTCCGGGAGCAGCATGGGGCCAGGGCAGGCAGGAAGCCCACACCCTTCTCACACCCCAACCCCCAGCACTGAGTCCCCTCCAAGAGCCAGCACCCTGTACCCCCTCCTGCATCCTGAACTCCCTCCTGCACGCCAACCCCCTGCCCTAGCCCTGATCCCCCTCCCGGAGCCAGCACCCCATACCTCCTCCTGCACCCCAACACTCTGCCCCAATCCAGAGCCCCCTCCTGCACCCAAACTCCCTCTCAGAGCCTGCACCCTGCACCCCAACACTCTGCCCCAGCCTGGAGCCCCCTCCTGCTCCCAAACTCCCTCCCAGAGCTTGCACCCCATCACCTATCCTGCACCCCAACCCCCTGCTCCTCCTCCCACTCTCCAAACCCCTCGGCCCCAGTCCAGAGCCTGGACCCCCTCCCGCACCCCAATCCCCTGCCTCAGCCAGGTGAAAGTGAGTGAGGGTGGGGGGAGTGAATGACGGAGGGAGTGGGGATGGAGTGAGCGGAGCGGGGCCTCCGGGAAGGGGTGGGGCAGATCCTGGGTTGCACTTAAATTCAAAAAGTGATCTTGTCTGTAAAAAGGTTAGAGACCACTGCCTTAGACATTCCTGAGAGAAGGAAACCAACACTCTGTCTTTAGCAGTACCTGCTTATGCTCCCATTGCCTCAGAAGCATGGGCACAGGAGAGTCCATTCTGAAAGAGCTGCTGAAAGGATGCTGTTCATTTAGAGCAAGGGGAAAGCCTAATAACCAGGAGAAGCATGAGGCTCTGGAGATCTCAGGTAACAAGGCTGAATACTTGCCTGCTTGCCATAAACAACGTGGGGACAGCTAGTCATCAAATGAAAATGATGCAATACCACCAGTGCACTCAGCTCATTTACTTCTCTGTAGTTCGCTATGAATATCACTGCGATTCAGAGTAATGAAGTGAATTTGAGTCACTAATGAGCAATGATTGGTTTGCTAGCATATGTAAGCAGCAGCTGTCTTTATAAGGTAAATTTATGTTTCAGACTGAGCCTCAGAACACATGCAATGGGCAGTCTTGATATTAAAAGACACTTTTTCTCCTTTTTTTCAGAACATTGCCTCTGTCTATGACATGTTCATGGTCATTAGTGGGGATTTTCTTTTTGGTTCTATAGCTGTTAAAAGTCAGAAAAAAATATTTGGTTCTCAGAGTTTCAAAGGGGATGACACAAAAGCAATTTATCCCATCCTATTCCCACCCCATTAGCATAATTCTACAGTGAACAACTGCTCTATAAATTACCTCCTTAGGTACAGTAGCATCTGTATTCTCTGATTTTTCTAATTTATGGACAGAATGTATAATGTAGCATCTGTATATTGTCTGGATGCAGAAAAGAGAAGTATCTTTTATTTATTTTTTATTCCTGCAGAAGCTCAAGCAACATTAAAGAATATTTTTCCATTAGCAAAAAGCAAAGGGAATAATACTTTATAGGGCCAAGCAAGGCTAAACCTGTGGTAATTACGTGCTTTAGGCACTAATTATACAATGGTCTCAATGTGGACTTAGATTCCAAATGGGATTCAGCTTGGCTTCTAGGGATCCATCATTGCAATGCCACTGCAGTATTGGGGCCTGTAGCAGGGTGGACACCTGCTCCTGCCTGGAAGGGCCTGAGATAGCCCAGGGAGAAGGTAGCTTGAAGGCTGAGCTGATTGGGGGAAGTGGCTGCAGCTGGGGCCATGCCCCAAACAAACTCAGCTGGCCCTACAAAGGCAGGGAGACAGGAGCTCAGACAGAGTCTCTTGCTGCACTCAGAGAGAGAAGGGCCTGGCTGCAGGGAGCTGAGACAGAGTACCTGGGTGGAGCAGGGCTGGGGAGCCCCAGGCTGGAAAGCCCCAGGCTGTGGCCTAGTGGAAGGCCAAGGGGTACTGGGGGTTGCAGAGAGCAACCCAGGGGTAGGCCAAGGCAGCAGGTCCAAACCCACCCTTGCCAGTGATGAGTAGGCTGATACTGCAGTCTGCCCCGGGCGTGGGGCTAGATGAAGACTGGCAGTAGCCTGATACTGAGGCAAGGTGGGGATAGGTGGTGGGGGTTCCCCTGGGAGGGAGAGACCCAGTTAAAGGGGCAGCGGGGTCCTGGAGGGACATGGGGGTCAGTGGCAGTAAGGTGGATCACCGGCCTGTAGAGGGTGCTCTGGACTGGATTGAGCTAATTCCCAGGATAACCAGCAGAAGGTGCCACAGGGGTGAGTTCGCACTGTTACAGGACCCTAGTTTGCAAGAGAGAGCAAATAATTTCCCCAGCTGTGCTGTATCTTTTAAGCAACACACTTTTTCTCCACTGATGTGCAGCCAGATCTAAATCTTTTCCTGAACTGAGTTGCCAACTACTCAGTGAGTTACTGTGCTTGGAAAAAATTAGACTTTGATAGATTTTTATCTCCAGAAACTGAGGCAAAGAGTACATTTTAAGAATGTATTTCTTCCTGCATTTTTGAATAATGTATACAGTACCTGTCCCAGCCTGTAACTAAGATAGTCCTCTTTAGTACCATGATCTGGGAGATGTCAACTGCTCGGTCTCTTCCAACATTGAGTTTATGGTGACAGTGTCCATTGAAATCCCAAATCTTCAATTAAAAAATAAATAAGTTATCCATAACCTCTCAGTATAGGCAAAGCAGAAAATCATCTGGTAATTTAAGGATCAATGAAGAAATAAATCTGTTGGATCGGATTGGCCTCATACCCTGATGTAACTCAGAGGTAACTGCATTGAAGACAATTCAGTCTTCATCAGAATCAGGCTCATAGGATTGAATAGTAAACAAATAATAATAATGCCTCTTCATAGCTTTTGTATAGCACTTTTCATCTATAGATATCAAGATACTGTAAAAAGGAGGCAAATATTACCCTTCTATAGATGAAGAAATGGAAAGACAAAGATGATATGACTTGTCCAAGCACAAACAGCAGGGCAGGAATAGAACGCCGTGACAGAGCCAGGAATGGAATCCAAGTCTAATTGTCCATTCAGTGCCTGCCTCCCCTGCCCGCCGTCTCTCTCACATGCACATAAACACACACTGTGATGACCTACATGTGACAGTTTCTTTATCCATGGAACCCCTTGAAACCATATGCAAAAGTGCATTTATTTTGCACCTTTGACTGCCTCACCTGTTCACCGCTAAGCAATCTTTGCTGGGACTCTACTAATATGCCAGCAATTTGAACATCTTTCTGACAGCTTCTTCTTAAAAATAAGAATCATTTAACTGCCATAAAAGACTTTTCCCTACCCTACACTGAAGAATTTGTTTAAAAAAAAAAAAGTTATGCTGGTCCAAGATCTTGAATTGACATGTTTGTGTCTTGGACCAGTGACATTTTGAAGGTCTGACCTTTTAAATGTAGCCAGTTGCAAGACTGAGCCTTATAATCATGACAGTCTCATTTAGAGAAAAGCTACTATTTTGGATACATTTTAAGCCATCTAAAATTAATTTTATTTATATTACATTAGGACCTAGAGATCCTACCTGAGATCAAGGCCCCATTGTGCTAGGTGCTGTACAAACAGAGACAAAGAGGTTACAACCTGCATAGAAGAGACAAAGGGCAAGAGAGTTTCCACATGAGAAACCAAGACACAGAGTCATTGAGTAACTTGCCCAAGGAATTAAATGGAGATTTCTCAAGTCCAGTATCTTAAGCACTAGACCATAAGTCCTACTTTTCCTGTCACACTGAAATTTGCTCAGTTGGACTCCCAGTAGGTAGGAAACATCTTTACAGGTGAAGGGAGACAAATAGTTCTCATTTCTAATAGAGTCTCTGGAGTGGTGTTAAGGGCTATCTGGCACTCATTTGAGTTGACCTCCATAATTCACTCATGTTTTCACCAATTTATAGTCATCCTATACACAAGGCAATAAGCTCTGTTTATGCCACTCACCCAGATATGTGCTTCAGCTTGTTATTAATTAATTTACAGTTCATGGGCTCCTGTAAATTAAAATAACATTTAAAAAGACACATGGTTTGGGAAAATATTGCTCAAACATCTCATTTTATGTATAAATCTGTTGGATGCAGCAATAATGTATGTATGTAGTGATTTGAAATAAAATTTATTTGCCCTTTAAACACAATACATTCATTTCACAAGTTGGTATTCCATATTCTTACATAGATGTGTGTTTTATATTCGTAAGAGTCCATTGCAAAGGCACTGAAGTAATTTTTCATAAGAATGAGGTTTGGGAAGCTTCCTCTTCAAATTGTACCGACAGTATGTAATACTGAAATAAGACATTTCCATCCTGTAATATTACTGCTGGACAGACTTACCCTGTGCTTCCTGACACTAGCTCAAGACTCTGTCTACATCCTAATTGTGGATTTTCTTCAGTTTGTTCTTTGACTAAGGCCTGAGCTACACACAGTTTAGAGTGCGTTTTTTTTTTTACTGAAATAGTTATACTGGTACAACAAGTGGGGACACAATTATACTGGTATAGCTTATTCTGCCTACCATATAGGAATAAACTATACTGGTATAAACCACCTTTATGCTGGTATAAGTCCCACACACACACATTGGGCTGGTTGTGTTGCTTTAACTATGCTACTATACTTAACACGGTACAGCTTTTGTATTCAGACAAGCCCTTAGGATGGGTATTTTGGCATGAATTGAAGCCATCACTTTTCCCTCCCACTTCCTAGATACTGAATGTTTTGTCCTTAGGATTTCCACTGCTTGGAAAGAGCAGAGTGCTCCATGGGCAACACTTAAGGCAGGCTACTTCCAATCAGCCAAGGCCAACAGTATAACTCAGTACAGTCCCAAATTTCAGCGCAGACTCTGGTGTTTAAAAATGTGTTTATTAATCTTGATCTTCTCACATTAGAACCCGGGCAGTCAAGGAAGTAACAAGACGAAGCAATACAGTACATTTTGTCTTGTTATCTAGAAAGGTTTTTTGGGAGATGCTCAATTGCCAAAAATACCTTGAATGATACCCGAGATGGGCAAAAACTGGAATAATAGATGCAAATTCTGCACCACTCTCCCCAACTGCCAGATTTTGGCAGAGTTTGGTCCAGATTCCAGAATTTGTGGCTTTCTCTTATCTCTATAATGGGACAGAAATCAAAACATTGGATTTGGATCTGAACTTTATGACTCAGGCCCATCTCTACCACAGACACAAATTAAGCAGCAAGAAAATTGAGAGACAGCACGGCACAGAGGATAGGGCACTGGCTTGGGACTCAGGAGACCTGAATTCTATTGCTGGCTCTCCCACTGAACTTCTGTGCTATCTTTGTTATGTCACTTTTCTGTTTTCCCTCCCACACCCTTTGTCTTCTCTGTTTAGACTGTCAGCTCTCCAGAGCAGGGTCCTTTCATATTACATGTTTGTACAGTGCCTAGCACAACAAGGCCCTAATCTCAGTTGAGACCTCTAGGCGCTACCATAATATAATAAATAGCTAAATCTGACTAGTTATGTCAAAATTAGCCAAGTCTGGGGAAATGGTCTCTCATGTTGGTGATTTTCAGCAACTTCAGCCAATAAAATAGGAAGAGCCAGAAATCTGTTTGGCAAACCTATTAATTTTTTTAAATGGTGTGAATTTAGTGTGCTTTAAAGTGAAAGACTAACAGCACTGGCTTAAAACCTGTCATAATGTTGGCTAGTGTTCTGTCAATACATCTATATCCTGATCTTAACAGCATACACCCTTGGTATTAAACACAAGAATCTCTCTTTAGTAGAAACTAAAGCACAAGTTATTAAATTTTATGGTGGTTTTTGTGATGAGGTCAAATTCTCACTGAAATGATTAAGAAGATTTAAAATTCATTTTAACTTTCAATAAACCAAAATTTGAATTGATGTGTCCAGGGGTGAAAGGCTCGTGTTTTAACTAACCTAGCCACCATTTCAAAATAGTTGTTTTACAGTCATGCATTGGCTACCACGATAATATGCCCTTGTGTAATGACAAGTGAGTGCTCCAAGAAAAGCAATGGAAATGATTGTCTGGTGATTAAGGCAATAAGGGCCATGTGCTGTATAGAGTCATAGATTGTAATGAAACTACTTGGAAGGAAGGAAGGGAGGTAACAAAGAAGGAAGTGTTCTGTAAAGCACTGTGTGTATCCAAAGTGTTAGACAAGCAATTAAATTTAACTGCGTTTTCCCAACAGTGTTAGGATTTCAACCTCTAGTTGCTGAGTTCATCCCATCTCCTCTTTAACAAGGCCAATGGAAAAACCAGCCATTGTTTGGTAGCTGAGTGTTTTGGCACATTGTATCTATGTGGAAAAGACTGCAATGGAAACAAATAGTTTGAAATGTTTTCCCCTCACACCTTTACTGTTCCATCTGTGCTCCCAGTTAAGAGCCTTGTCTCAGTTGCATCCAGTGTCATAGTGCTGATCTCAGCATTGCCATGGCAACCAGTAAACTGTTTGATTTTCTGCCCAGTGTCTATCAGCCAGAAGGTAACGGTAGATCCTGTATCTGAGCTGATTACCTGGGGGGGGGAAGCAGAGATTGAGATGGAATTTAAAATCTTTATATTATATATATATATATAAAACAATCTCATACATATGTGCACTGCACTTATATAATTAGCAACATCTGAAATGCAAATTAGATAATTTTTGCATTGATTTTCCCTGTCTTTTCCCTTTCATCTCGTTACAAGCTTTATCATTCCCCACAATCAAAGTTTATGAGCAGGTCTGTTCCTTGTAAAACCTGTATCCACAGCTAGTTCCAATTAGCCAAAGAGCAATCATTTCTCCCTATTATCCTTCAGCACGGAAGACAGGTGACCAGCTCCCTCAAGAGACAGTATCCCAAGTTACACGCGGGAACTAGAAATGTTCTCAGCAGGGATGAAACATGTCCACAGCCCTTCAGCTTGGAATCTTGCAGGCATGCTCGACCGAATGCTTTGTGCTAAGTGGTCAGATAAATCTTCCCTGCTTATTTCAGAGAACTGATCCACCAAGTAATGGATCTTTAAAACTGCATCTCTGGAAGGGGAAATAGTTTAGGGAAGCTCTCAGCATACATTAGCCTCAATTTAGAATTCAGTAGTGAGACCAGCCATTATAAATTAGGAAAAAGTCCATTTGAACAGATGATGGTTATTTCTTTTTTGGCGTGCGGTGTGTTAAATTGCTCAAAAGAGATGCATTCACTCTTACTTCCATTTGCTGTATACTTACTGCTGGGTGAAATCTTCAGTCCTTACCTCAGCCCTAATTCAAGCAAGATTCCCACTGAAATCAATGGGAGTTTTGCCTGAAAAAAAAGCATTCTGGGATTTACTTTTTTTTGCCTTTGGTGGTCATCATTAAAGAGGTTAAGGTTCATCAACAGTCACCACACTGGTATCACTGTTCTATCCCTATTCTTACCATAAGAAATAACGGTGATATCTCAGTCAAGCATGGCAACTGTTGGCAAGTGGTGAATTTTTAAATGGCACCCACTCACTATACACATGCTTTTATTTAATCCCTTCCATGTGTAAGTTAATACACAATAATTGCTGAGATTTAGTAGTTCTTCACTCTTTTCAAAATACTTTTCCTCCTAATTAAAATCAGATGCTCAAAAAGATAGTTGGCTATTTCTGCTAGGAAGGAATCCAATTCCTCCCCCAGAAAATGCTAATCAATGAGTTCTCAGCAATCTTAACAAAATCAAATTTCGTTCATGATGCAATTCACATTTCGAGAAGTTCAAAGACATGTGCCCAACACTGTACCTGCCAGCACCTGTGGAAATTTTATATAGAATAGAATATTAGGGTTGGAAGAGACCTCAGGAGGTCATCTAGTCCAATCCCCTGCTCAAAGCAGGACCAGCACAACTAAATCATCCCAACCACTTATCTTCATTCATAATACCTCTGACCACAAACACAATGAAGTACAGCTTCTGCACAGCTCATGTTCTCTGACCTTAAACCATTATGGAATTATTCCAATGACAGGGGTTTTTTTATTAGTTCCTGGCAAAATAAATAAATAATGGACTCCCTTGATTGTTTAAAAAAAAAAAAGACCATAAATCCACTGAAATAAGGTAGCTTCCCTTCAAATTTTAGTAATTAAATGAGGCTCTCTCATTGAGAAGCAATATACTGCAAACTTATTGTGTTAAATTAGCTATGTTGCTCATGTCCTTAAAAGCACCACCCAAAAAGGAGACCCAAATTGAACTCTAATTATAACCAAGTCTGCTTTGAATATAAGTTCTGCGATTTGCCTGTGTTATTCTAAACTCTTAATCTATTATCTAAGGAGTCCTAGATAATTTAAATAAGGAGTGTGAGACAAGACAGCATTGTCTAGCCGTTAAGACAGGAGTGGGAGTCAAGAAATGTAAATTCTGTTGCTGACTGCCTCGGCCTTACTGTATGATTTTGGGGGAGTCTCACAACTTCTGTGTGTCAGTTTTCCCCATCTGTAGGATGGAGTTAATAATACCTACTTGCCTCATGAGGCGTCCTTAGTGCACTGAGATTATTTGATGAATGACACCATACACGCTGAAAATATTATATTAATATTAGAGATGGCCAGAGGAAGTGAGACTCTGGATGAGTGTTAAGCAGTCATAGTTCAAGACAGAGTCAAGGCCAGGGATCAGAGGTCAAACTCTCATGAGATGTTCTTGTGAGATTTCATCCCCAAATTAGAGAAAACTAACAGGCTCACTTGATCTCAGAAGAGTTTCATCTCATTCTTGGGAGAATGATTACTGACAATTTCTCACAGCAATGGTCAATCAGAACCTTCAAGCAGGGTCAGCCTGTTTAAGATCTCATCAAGAACCAGAATGGTATAGATGGATTTAAATCTAGTGATTTGAATTTGACGCCCCCATTTCCTAGCTCTTCCAAAAGCACAAGGTGCTTTGGACTAAAACCTTTGGTTTTAGTTCATTTCCAATTAGTTTTATTTATTTTAAGTAATTAGCAGACTATAAATATCTAGCCAAATACTGATGCACGGGCCGGCCACTTGAACTTGCTGTTGTGACACGGAGTCCCTGGAAAATCACTGCAATCCACAAAGACTGTGTTAGATGCCTAAGCTCCTATACAATGAAGGGGGAGACATAGGCACCATAGTCTTCAATGAACTAAAGCCGGCCTGCTAAGCAGAGAGCTGCCTAAGCTAGTCAATGGAAAATGCCAACCAGAGTGGTGCGTGCTAAGTCCCACCCCTCTCATGGAGACAGGTACCTAAGTCCAGGCTGCAGGGATGTGCCTAGCTGTGCTTGCGATTCACAGCTGGCAACCCTCTTTGGAGTTAGGTGCCTAAGCCATTTTAGCAAGATGTGAGGAGCAGGAGGAAGAATTCCATCATAATTTTAGCCTAGTGGTTAAGGTACTCCCCTGGGATGTAGGGGAACCCTGGCTCAAGTCCCGCTTCCACCAAAGGAGCAAAGGGATTTGAACTAGGATCTAACACAGTGGTGGGCAAACCTATGGCCCGGGGGCCACATCCAGCCCTCCAGATGTTTTAATCTGGCCCTTGAGCTCCCGCTGGGGAGCCAGGTCCGGGGCTTGCCCCAGTCCGCGCTGCTCCCGGAAGCAGTGGCATGTTCTTCCTTTGACTCTTACGCATAGAGGCAGCCAGAGGGCCGCCCCCGCAGCTCCCATTGGTTGGGAACTGCAACCAATGGGAGCTGGAGGGGCAGCACCTGTGGACTGGGCAGTGCGCAAAGTTGCCTATCCGCACCTCTGCTTAGGAGCCATAGGGGAGATATGCCACTGCTTCTGGGAGCTGCTTGAGGTAAGCACCACCCGGAGCCTGCATCCCTGACCCCATCCCATGCCCCAACCCCCTGCCCCAGCCCTGATCCCCCTCCCACCCTCCAAACCCCTCGATCCCAGCCCAGAACCCCCTCCTGCACCTTGAACGCCTCATTTCTGGCCTCACCCCAGAGCCTGCACCCCCAGCCAGAGCCCTCACCCCCTCCAGCACCCCAACCGACAATTTCATGAGTATTCATGGCCCATCATACAATTTCCATACCCAGATGTGGCCCTTGCGCCAAAACGTTTGCCCACCCCAATCTACCATCTCTCCAGGCAGCACTCTAGTCACTGGGATATGGTATAGTTTGATGTGGCGCTCCCTTAGTCTCTCCTGTTGAAGCTGTTGGACTCTGGTTAAATAATTAAAGAGAGTCATTGGAGCAGGGAGACTGGATCCTGGGTGAGAGCTCTAACCCCCAGGAGTCATTCTCATGCTTGTGCTGTCTCTCTCTCACTGTCCCAAATGACTCTTTACTACCACTTTTTGAAAGCATAGTAATCCAAGCCCTCCTCTGGGACTGTCACTGCATTATAGCAGCATCCAGACAGGATGTCACTGCAGGACAATCTGGTGCACTGTAGATTCACACCCTGGCTTACTGCACAGTAACTTGTTGTGTAGACAAGCTTTACAACAGAAACACAAAGTTGCCCAAGATCTCTCAGCAGGTCCCTGGCAGAACTAGGAGTAGAACCTAGGTCTGCCTGAGTTCCAGACCGGTGACCCAGCCACTTAAACCACACAGCTACCCCTTTCTGGTTGGCATATACCATTTTGCATCACTCTGTCTATGCTATTGGTATTTAATTTGTAATAATTATTTTGGAATTAGATACACTTAGAAGGAAAGTAGATTACCTGCCTCAGAGGGTTGTTATGAGGATTAAGGGTGGTTCTGTGCTCCAAAACTATGATGTATCAAGTATTATTACCACTGCCAAAGTGATCGTACATATGAGCCACACTTTTATCCCTTAGACATAAGCTTCCCAGAATGCCTGCATCTTAAAGGAATGCACCTCCCTTTTCTTCTGTCTCCCTTTCTCATGGCTCACAGAAGCCTTTAAAATCAATAACTTAACTGAAAACATGTGCTGCTCATTAGCACAGCCTCCAGCACCCCAAACTGCTTCTTTCAAAAACATGCAGCCTAAGGATGGGTGGTGGATTCAGATCACTGTGACCTGGTTAGCAGCTGGGCCCAGGAACTGTGATCTTCAACATGGAAATACAAAGACTCTTGAAGTCCTTTACCAAGCCCTTTGTTAGAACAGGGATTTCTCTCTCCCTCCACCTGCCTTTTCTCATGGAACCTCACCTCTCATTATTTCACACTTCCCATCTTTTCTGGCCTTGCCTATCTCTTCTTGAATCCTTCTGCCAGTTTCTATCTATCCTTTTCTAATGCCTCCTTTCTCTCTCTCTCTCTCTCTCTTTGATACGCTCACCCACTTCTGATTCAATGTCTGTTCCACCAAAGTGGGATGTTTTTTATTGTTTAATTTACAGCATGGGTTGTTTCTTTGACAGCATGCAGGAAAGCTGCTTTTTTCCTTTTTCTTTTAATCAGTCCAGATACTGCTACCGTGTTACTGCTACCCTGCTTTAAACACTCATTTGTACCAAACAAATCGCCACCAAAACCCATGATGATCTGTTGATACCCCTTATTGTACTACTCTGTGCTCTGAGGTTTTCCTTAGCTGAATCTCAATCTGTAGATAAAAGGGGCTGGTTGGGCAGAGCTCAGGAAAATCTATCACAGAGACATTTCCCTGTATAGTAACTGTGGCTCTTCATTGAGATGCAGGTAGTGCTCTGATAGCAAAGACTGCAGTGCATCATTAAAGTACTGTGAAGACAAACAACACTCTCACTGCATACCAAGTGGTATTACATTTAACCGAATCATTTTATTATGAATACATCCAGGTCTGCCACTGTATGCCACTTGTGTAAAATGTTCTAGCGAAAATGAATCTTCACTAATTACATTTCATGCATATTTCAGAACTATCCTCAGGGATACTGTAAGGTGGCTATAAAGAGGAATTTTATAATCAAGTTCATTTTCAGTTGGCAGCCATACCAGGACTAACCTACATCAGAGATAATCCTAGATCATTTCACAATAGTGGTTTTATTTTTATCATCTGTGTTTCTTAGAAATGTTGGGTACACTGATAGCTTATATCACTTTTTAACACTGAACCTTCATTGGAAACCAAACCACTTTTCAAATACGATAGAAGGTTTAAGAAAGCAGGTAGTTTACTAGTTAAATTAAACTGTTGGGATACTAGAATACCCACAGTGCTTTGCAGTAAAGTCATACAAAGACTGTAATTAGCATGCTTTAGTATGAGATAATTTTCTTTCCAAAGTAAATGGTATCTCCCTCTCTCTCCCTCTCTAATTTAACTTTCTGAAATCAAATTAATAAAATCACCTTGTAGTAATACACATTTTCAAGTTCCTTATCAGGAAAATGCAGAAAGGTTCCTTATTTCTCCCCCCACCCCTTTACCTGCTTAAAGACTGAATTGTAAAGAACACAAGTAACTGCTTTCCCATGACTTGTGACCTTTCTGCTGGTTTCCTGCTTCATTTCCAATAACATCAGCTGGTTATTAAATGAGATAAAAAGCCGTCCGTGAGCTTCATTAAAATAAAGGGTGGATTGGAAGTCCAGACTCTTTGGAAATGAGCCCGCAATCCTCTGGATGCACAGCTGATGCTGAATATCCCAGAGCCTTAACACCTGTGCACATAATGATGAAGAAATCACACATTAGCTCCATTTTTTTTTTTTTGCTTCAGAATGCATTGCAATCATTAGTTATTGCAGTGATAGCTCTGGCTTGCTTCATGTGCCTCATTAACATCTACCACCAAATACAAGATGAAAGAAGCCATCTTTGTTCAGTTTATTTTACAAAGGGTTGTCAGTGAATATTTTGTTTTATTGTTATTCGTATTATAACCAAGGTCAGGGCCCTGTTGTGCCAGCCATTGTACAAACACACGAGACAACCTCTGTGCTGAGGAGTTTTCAGTTTAGCAGACAAGACAGAGAAAGGGTGGAGTGAAAACAGCGGTGAAGTGACTTGTCCAAGGTTTTACATCACTGTAACTCCATTGGTTTCCTGGTTTATACTGGTGCAGTTGAGAGGAGAATCAGAGCCATTGTTATCTAAAAGCCTCTGGCAGTTACCCTTAGAAAAACAATTCGTGAGTCAGAATAGTCAGAACAAGGTTGAAACATCAACCTTGTTGTGCCTATATTTTGCTAGTGTCCCCAGGGAGTTGGAAGTGTTACATAGGAGCTTTGCATCCACTAAGGCAAGTTAGGAACAGTTAAAATAAAAATCTCTCTCATAGAACGGTATGAGTGTTGACACAAGAGACTAACAGCTTAGTGGCAAATGTTATGGTCTGTTGCGTATATAAATAAAAAGGTAATTTTTATGCCATTATTTACTTGGTAGACTGTAAAGGCTCATTATAAATATACAATAGCTATAGCTAATAAGAAATGGCCCATTCTAGAGGAGAATAAAAGGGAGCTATTTTTTAGCTTTCTTGAAAGCATAAAGCAGCAATATATCAGCAAGTGGATGCGGAGAAGTAGTTGCTATGCAAGCTTCTTCAAACAGCAATGCCAATGCACTTGCCTTGGTGTGCCTCACTAACCTGGCTCTGTTTTTGCACTGGGTTTCTCACAAGAAGCAAAGACTAACAAATGTGCTAAGTTATAGCCCCTCTTCAGAGCTATGGTCATTAGAAGTACATCCAAACTCATTGAGCCTATAGGTCTCCGCATACACCAGGTCTCATCTATTTCAAAAACCCAAGCATTGGGTGACGCAGTTATTTAAATGTGGTCACAGCAGTGTGGCAAATCCCGGAACACTACCAGAGAGTGGGCTGGGTAGGCAAAAGCATCAAGTAGATAATACAGAGACAAGCAAGAAACAAGTCCACTGGGGAGAGAATGAGTAGCCGTGGAGCAATAGGGCCTGGAGGGCTGCCATCTTGACCCAGTCTGGTAAATCCTAGCTGGAATCCTGAGTATTCCCATACTGAGTCTGTTCTATGGATATGGAGCTTCTGTCTCCAGGTCTGTGAACACATCTCAGTTCACAGCAATACATTGATTCACGTGTTAAAACATGTGACTTTTGCGCTGGTTTAAAACAAGCCCACTATCTCCATGAATTATCCATTACAAAACATGGTGCAATCAGTGACTCAGAATTTCTGTCAAAATTCTGCCTTTTAAAATGGTGAATGCTATCTCTTTGCATCCCTCTCATCCCACATAACATTGGATGGCAGAAGTTTGTTGTGGTTTCTGCTGGCAGTAAATCAGAGAGTGCTCTTGGTAGCAGAGGGGGCTCGTTGTTTATTATATAGACATAGAGACTCAGATTACCATGCATTCGTCAGAATGAAATAGATTCATACTAATGCCAAGAACAACATGCACTGCTCTGTGTATAGCATAATGGTTTAGCAATTAAAAAGAAAACACAATTTTAACACTGCAATTGAAAGAGATACCGTGGTGTTTAATATTGGTGCTGGCCTCACTTGTTCTGCTCAGGTTTTGATCCTTTCTTGCCTTTATAATGACAAACCTGGATCACAATCTCAAATTAGCATTAGAGAAATGTTGAGTGTGAAAATAAACTAAGGCCTGTCTACATTTAAAACACTACAATGACACAGCTGCAAGTCTGCTGCTGTAGCGCTTTAGCGTAGACACTACTTACACAGATGGGCTAGGCCAGTGTTTCCCAAACTTGGGAAGCTGCTTGTTTAGGGAAAGCCCTTGGTGGACCTGGCCAGTTTGTTTACCTGCCGTGGTTCGCTGCTCCAGGCCAATGGGAGCTGCTGGAAGCGGCGGCCAGTACGTCCCTCGGCCCACGCCACTTCCAGCAGCCCCCATTGGCCTGGTTCGGCAAACCGCGGCCAGTGGGAGCCGCGATCGGCCAGACCTGTGGACGCAGCAGGTAAACAAACCAGCCCGGCCCACCAGGAGCTTTCCCTACACAAGCAGCGTCCCAAGTTTGGGAAACACTGGGCTAGGCAATCCACCTTCCTGAGAGCATAGACGCTACCTCCCATTAGCATAGGTAATCCACCTCCCTCAGAGGTGGTAGCTAGGTTGACATAAGAATTCATCCTTTGACTTAGCACTGTCTATATGGGGGCTTAGATCAGCTTAACTACCTCATTCAGGAGTGTGAGTTTTTCGCACCCCTAAATGACATAGCTGGTTCGACCTAATTTTCTAGTGGAGACCAGCACTAGGACACACTATGGACCATATTTTCAAGAAAGTTTAGCGTCCACAACTGGAGTCATATTTTCAGAAGAGCTCAGTTCTCAATTAGGCACCAAAATAAATGGTTAGATTCTCATATGTTGGGTTTTTCGAAAATGTAATCATGTCACAATGGGAGCTGCTGGCGCATTTTGCGGATCCAATTCTGTTTGCCAATGCAGGGACTGCAGGATCGGGCCCTGTGGGCAGTTTCTATATTTACCTTGTCCTTTGAGAAGCTGAAAAGCTGTTTTCGTTCAGTAATGAACTGAACAGCTATTACACTGGCTGAATGGCCTTGAAGAACTCCAGCAGGTTTCGAGGTGACGTAGGGGTTCCAGAGGCAAACTCGGTGATTGATGCCAGCAGTAGCTGTTCACAATCACAAATCAAAATAGATTAAAACCAAAAGTACGCTTGAAAGGGGATTTTATTTTAATTATTAATAAAGAAACTGCCATCTCTCTGAAACACACAACGATAATTGCTTTGATAAATGAGAATGTGTTTGTTTATGTTACAAGTGAATATGTGAGAGTGGTAGTGACTGCAATAATTAATAATGCAGAACAGTTTCCATTGTAATCGCACCTGCAGTTACTCAGAACTTCCCTAAACTTCTTGAGCAGAAATTTCTCTATGCCCTTCCCCCCAGCTGATTTGTCTTCCACTTCATAAGCTGGAAATATAAAACATCATCACATAAATATAAAACACTAGGACTCAGTCATTCATTTTTGCAGGCAGAATGCATACGAAGGAAGAAAATGCCTATATATGTACACATACAGAATACAGTTTTCTTGGCCCCTTAGGCTTTACTATAGCACATAAATTAGTCAGTTTTTTAAAACGTACCAATTAAGTTGAGTCGAGAGTGGAAGTCAAAAGCATTAATTCCCCGGGCAATGTCGAAGGATGTAGTTTTAAGACGAGGCTTTAATTTTTCTCTCCAAGCCAGCACCAATGTGTTAACATTACTGGTTGTACCGGAAATAAAGGCATCAAAGGAAGAGCTGTATGCAACTAATTGGTGAGAAAAGAAAAAGAAAACCTTTGAATTGATTTCTTTTAATATAATCCAATCAGCGCTAGTTTCATAAAGAACAAGGTATATTAAATCTAAGCCTAATTAAAAAAACTATTAATGTCAGGGAGAAAACTAACCTTGACTTCAAAGGGGTTTGGATCAGGCCTGCAGGACTCAATCCTGCAAGGCGCTGAGCATTCTGGACCTGATCCAGGACTGCTCACACACTTAAGTGCTTTGCTGGATTGTGGCCAGAGTTCTCAGCACATTTCAGGGATGAGTCCATAGACGACAAGGACATACAATATACGGTGTGGGTCTAATAAGGTGCTCAATGGCTTCAGCTCTCATGAAGTTCAGTGGTATTAGAGGGCGTTCAATACTTTGTAATTGGACAAGAAAGAAATCTAACAGAAACGTGGTAAAAATACATCACACTGCTTTGCTGATACAATGAAGTCTCATTTACATTTTTGGTATAGAGACTTAATGAACCATACAGAACACTATATACTGGTAACAGCTAACTCTCCTTGCAGTAATCCCTTCTGAACTACAGAGCTTTGCCACTGGTTTCTAATCCCTGAGGAGCTTGGATATAAAACTGGTAACACAATATGGACCAAGTTACTAGGCTAGTTATTCTTAATTCAGTAAAGCGATACTGAAATCTGAAGTCTACATTATACAATAATTATTCCTACACAAATACATGGTAATGCTACAGTATAATTACTGTGTGATCAAAAAGTGCAAATACTGTATCTGGGAAATTACTTTGTTATATTTCCACTTAAAATTCAAATGCTGTTACAATTCTTGCTCTGCGGTCCATCAGGAAAGACAAAGAAATCTTAAACTCAGAGTGTTGCTCTAGGACTTGAATCTGGAGGTTATAAGTGACTTTTGTGGGAACAAGATGTATGTTTCAGGAGCTCAGTGATTTGCACAGTTTGTTACAAAGATATAAACTCGTTTCTGACTAAACTGTATTGTAAGTCAAGTTCCTTGAAGAATGTCTGACTAAAAGGTGAGGTTAAAGGAATTTCCATAACATCAAAGTATGTGGCAAATTAAAATGCTCATATGCATGGAGAAGGAGAAAAGGGGGCAGATTGAGATAGAAAGGGCTTCTTAATGACAAACAGAAGTTAGGGAAACAACCAAAATATGGCCATGAAAGTATCTGAATCTGCATTGAAAAAAAGTAATTTTATTTCCAAATGTTTTGCAATGAGTAGCTTTGTCCTTGGAAAGTGCTCTATAAAATATTCTCTATGTCCAGATCCTCAGCTGCTGTAAATTAGCATAGCTCTATTGGTTTCATTTGCAGTTACACTATTTTACACCAGGTAAGGATCTGACCCAAAGTGTTCTTCCAATAAGCATGATGAACAATTTTATTCCATTCACAAACATGGAAAATCCTAACATTACCCTCTGATATTATCAGAAAAATTAGTGACCTATTAGAAGACCTAATTAGATCAGCAAGTCCTTGCAAATGCAGAATACAGCCCCACAATAGAGGCAGTATCACAAATTAAAACTGATGGAAAGTGGACCCACAGCTACCTCTACTTTCCATTCTCATTGATGCACCTTTGACTAAGAAATCCCTTTTGTTGTAGTAAGTGTTCATCTTTGCAAATGGTATCACATGGCTCTCTATGGTTCAATAGCTTTTGTAGAACAGCCACCAAGGTGCACGATCCCATGGGACCAGCAAGTTTAAGAGGAGTCAAAGATCCTGTGGAATTGTCACTTAAGACCTTGTGGATCTCAGATCATATGCACATTCCTATGTGGGTCTGAGCCCCTCTGTTTCGTCCTTTCAGCAATGGCAACAAGCCACACTGTGATTGGCTGTCCTGCTCCCCAAGGCAACTTCAGTTCATGTGTGTTCTACAAAAGCCAGGAAGAGGGAGTTAGTGCTTGTTCAGATGGATTTTTTTAGGGTAAGAATCACTGTTCTGAAAAGGGAACGTGCCATGCCGAGCAAGCATTTCCCAACTCCTATCCCAGGCCACACTCTGTGGCCACACAATGCTATGCTCCATGTTACGGCCGCAAAGGGTCTTTGTGGCAAGATGGAGCCTTCCTTGGAGCAGCTTTCCCCTTTGTCCAGCTCCCATGACTCAGTTTATGCTTATTCCTGCCATTTTGCTCCCCCATTTGGGAAGCAGGGAAAGGCACACCCACCCCTTTCCTGGATCTACCACTACCACCTCTCTCACTAAAATATTTCCTAACATTTCTGCAGTTCAGCCATGTCCCTTCTCACCATTGTATTTACCACCAGATTTTGAATCCTCTTTGAGTAAATTTTCTTTATATTTTCTTCAACAGGAACCTCAATAAGCCCCACATATACCTTCCCATCAAGAAAGCATGTAACATTTTTCACCTTTCCTCCCTCACACATGTTTTTGAGACCAAAGAGGAGATTTTTCAGGGCACAAATGGCAGTTGGGCACCTACATCACACTGAAAGTCCTTGGGAGTTAGGTGCCTAATTGTTACTTGTGCTTTTGAAAATCTACCTCCTTGTGTCCAATTTTCTGTCAAAAATTCCATGGACTTCAATGAGGGTTTGCCCTAGACTTTGTTTTCCTCTGTCTATAACACCTCCTGTTCTGTAGTAACACTGTTTGAAAATTACTCCCAGTTATTTTGGGAAAGTTTAATTTTGCTGCACTATTTGCATCCTTCTCAGTGAACTATAACCCTTTTCTATGAATGACAGTAGACAAGAAAACTTATCACTTTTCTTTCAAGTCTTCACTTGATCAAATCCCATCTTTAAAAAAAAAGAACTATATATATTTGCCTTTTATCTGGAGTTCCCACACGTTGAATAAACCATTTCCCTGTACTGTGAGTTTACCAATCTATTCTCTCCCCAAATCTGTAACCTTAGCCTTAGTAGACAAATAAAGGACAGAGAGTACAGGACATCAAAATGACATTGACTATCTATAAAGTGTTTTATCAAGGTCTCAGGTACTCTCTGCCTTTACAAGCTATGCTGTTTCTTCTGTTCCTTTCCCGTCAACTTTAACACATTCGTGTTCTCAAGAATCCAACATAATTTGGGAATGTTGATCTTGTATTTATTCCCTCTATTTATACTTCTCTCTTTTTTTCCCCCTTAACTTCTTTTGTCCTTGTGGTAACTCAGGTATGTCTGGAATCTATCCATATTGCACTGCTTTGAGGCATCTTCTGTTCTATCATCTCCCCTTCTATATATGAACCACTTGTTAGCAACAATGGCCTCCTCACTTATTTAAAGCCCCTTGAGTATGTAATTCCCTCCTCCACCTACCTCCCCTTGATTAGTATTTCAAGATAATTTAATACCACATCTGAAATATTCTTCATTCAAAATGCAAAATTATACATCTTCAATCCAAGAAGAGAGAAAAATCCTTTCTGTAAAGATGGATTTACTTCTATTACAGTGCTCCATGAGTAGTTCTGTGAGAAGAGTTTAGGTGATTTTTTTTTTAAAGAAAAAGTAGAAATGAAAAATTCTGACACTTGGAGAGAATTATATGGACAATTCAGAATCCAGGGGAAAGTACCTGTAGATTGAGAGCAGTTAAGAAGTGGGTAAACTTTGAACTGAAATTATTTAGCCGGGGATTGTATGGTAACCAACAAATAGAGTGAAATTCACCCCTAAGCAAGGCCCAGGGCAAGGCCTAGACACTACTTAAATCCTCAAAATAGGGATTAACTTGTGCATTGACCTTGAGCTAGCCCTCTGCACAAGAGTGAATTTCACCCATCAGCCTTAGTAAGGGCTTGATCCAAAGACCACTAAGTCAACGGGAGCCTTTCCATTGACTTCAATAGGCCTAAGAAGCAAGACTAAAACCAGCTAATTATGTGATTTTGAAGGCCAAAATACTGAAGGGGTCTCAGTAAAATGAAAGCAGTTCCAGGAAGGGCTACAAAAAGAATTCCAAGATGCAAACTTAAAGAGAGGCTGAACTCATTAGATATGAGAAGCTTTGAAGAGGTGTTGCAAATAGTCTTTCTGATGGTGGTTTGTATGTCCTTCAGGGGTTGTAACAAAGAGAAAGGGGAGACATTATTTGGAGTTTGTCAGTGAGAACAAGACCAAGCATACTGGCCTGAAAACAGAAAAAGGAAAATACAAGTTTATTACAAAGAGACCTAAGAAGTGGTCAGCCAGGTGATGGAACAGTAAACACTAGTGTTATTTATTGCACTGATATCATACAGCTGATCCAGAAGAATCGTGAAATGCTTTTGCAGGCTATTCACCTTAAAATGGGAGATGTTGGAGCTCAGGATTTAGTTCTGTGTGTACATTGGGTTCAGCGCAGCACTACATAATGGTTCAGCCGAGAAAATGAAGAAGAGATGAGAAAGAGGAACCCAAGAATTACCTGGAGGTGTCATTCCAATGCCATCACAGGTCATACTGAAGCGTCATATGGATTTCACACTCAGTAGGACAGGGTAGAGGAGCTCCTTACTTGTGCTGGGAGTTGCATTAGATGACACAAGCTAGTAATAAGAAGCCTGAGCTGGTTTGAGAGACTCTTTTGGAAGGTACTTTTTGGCACTACCAGCTGCAGAGTCTCCCCAGGTAGGGCGCAGCTGAGCACATCAGGAAATCCATGCCATACATCCATTTGGATAAATAGGTTGCCTTAATGGAGCGCCAGGATCTGTGCCCTAGCATGATGCATTTCTGTGTGTGGATAGAGCGAAAAGTCCTTCTAGACACCACTCGGTGTTCTAAGTCTCAAACTGCAGAACTGCTTACTTTTCCAATGTAAGAAAATGAGATATTACAGCTCAGAATGCAATAAACTCACTTTAATGGGATCCATTTAGAACTAGATCAGAATGTTGTATTACTTTACTGCCTTTGTCCTAAATGCTGAATGTGTGCAGCACTCTAGATGGGTATTCATTATAATACCCCACTGATTTATCTTTCACGCTTCCTGCATCCCACGTCAATAAAAGCAGACCTAAATGCCTGATTTGCAGTTACTTAGATCGGTGTACAAGAACATTTCACATTTCTCTCAGAATTTATGTAGTTAAAAACAAAAAGCACTCGCTCTCCCTGTGGGTCCAATTGTGGCAGTTAGGCACAGGCCTGAGTAGGAAGCAGGACAGAGCCACACCTGCCCAGGGGATGCTCAGGAAGGCATTGCACCTGGGGGAGGCACAGTTCCTAACTGTCTGCCCTACAGAGAGGGAGATTGCACATTGCACAGCCTGCTTCCCCCCCCCCCCCACCTCAGCCCACTCCCCCCCACACACCTCAGCCCACTCCATATGGCTAGTTGTAGGAGTGGTGGGGCAATAGGGTCTGCCTGATCCCTGCTCCATTAGAGTGATGTCCAACCCTGGAGTGCCTGGAGTAAGCAGTGTACCTGCTCAGTGCAGAGACTGCAACTGTTCCCCACCCTTGAATTCAGGGGAAGCAAAGGGAAGGCTCTACAAGAGAGCATGTGTTCCTACCAGCACTGAGCTGTAGTAAAACACAGAGAACATAGCATGCCCCTACTAGTCCCAGCAGCTAACAGGGTCATCTGGGGTAAACAGTGTTGTGGGCTACTAGATTTTTAAAGACACACTTTGAAATGCTTGCATGTTAACATGAAATGACTGAGCTGATTTGAAGTTATGAAAATGCTGGCTTTTCTTAGGGTAGGTACCAGAGCCAGACACCATGACCGTGCTTTATTACTCACAGCCAGATTCTAACTGATCCATGGGAGAGTCCCTAGGAGAAAAGTGCAAAGGAGCTGCCCACTCCCTCCATCCTTTCAGCTCCTGCACAGGCACACAGACAGGTGCAGCTCCCATGCACCTCCCTGGGTTTGCACAGTCGGTCCATATAGCTGCTCAGGAATGAACACCACTGTCCAGAGGCCTGGTGTCAGGGCCGGCTCCAGGCACCAGCTTAACAAGCAGGTACTTGGGGCGGCCAAGGGAGAGGGGCGGCACCTGCGGCAATTCGGGGGCGGCAGGTCCCTCACTCCCTCTAGGAGCGAAGGACCTGCCGCTGAACTGCCGCCGCCGCCGATCGCGGCTTTTTTTTTTTTTTCCCAATTGCCGCTGCCGATCGCACTCGCGGCTTTTTTTTTTTTTTTTTTTGCTTGGGGTGGCAGAAATGCTGGAGCCGGCCCTGCCTGGTGTGCATGAATACAAACAAACATTCAGCTGTTTGATCTACAGAAAGCAGCAGGGAATCCTTGTAACCAAAATCTCACAAGGAGAAGGAGAAGTGCGCAGGTATATTTGCAAGGATCTTTGGCCTGATTTTTATTATTTCTAGGAGTTGAAACCCCAGCTAATCTGCCCTGGTTCCACACACCAAAAATAAATTACTGAGTCAGATGCCCTTTCACCCCATGGTCTGATCCCCTAGAGAAAACATAGCCAGCGATTCCTTGGGAGTATCTAGGTGAAGATTCCAGCCACCCACCTGGAGGCCTCTGTTGGAGTCCATGCCCCTGACAACTCCAGTGATTCCTCAGATTACCAGGTGCTTGGTCTCTTCTTGTGGGATTGGTGTCAAACCTGAGAAGGGGCCTGTTAAGCCAACTGGCTGGGACATAGTGTTCTATTATACAAGCTACTTCTTCCATAGAACCAGAGATATGCCGGTGAACCCAGATTTGCGCATTCATTGTCAGAATGTCCATCTTGTTGTTCCAGTGCAGTGGAGTCCAATAGGTCTCCAACTGAGTGAGGCTTGAGCTGGAACTACTAAGAGGCCCAATCCATCCTTCAGGCTCCCAGCTGTGGTAGGGACTCAGGAGCAGGGCCGGTTCCAGGGTTTTGGCCGCCCCAAGCAGCCAAACAAACAAACTAAAAAAAAGCCGCGATCGCGATCTGCGGCGGCAATTCAGCAGGAGGTCCTTCGCTCCGAGCAGGAGTGAGGGACCGTCCGCCGAATTGCCGCCGAACAGCTGGACGTGCCGCCCCTCTCCGAAGTGGCCGCCCCAAGCACCTGCTTGGTAAGCTGGTACCTGGAGCCGGCCCTGCTCAGGAGGAACAGGTCTGACCAGAATTGTACCAGTGAGTCGCAGAGGATACCCCGATTCAGCCCAATACTGTCACCTACAGACCCTACTGGTCAGGAATCTTCCAGAGCCCTATTGGGGCAGGGTGATGAACCTCTACAGCAGCAGCTCCTAGAGCCACTAACGCTGTTGCACTATCTGCTGCAATTGTACTAGTTATTTGATGATACCTCTCTCTTGTCCAGAGGGTGTCCAATATCCTACCCCGAGCACCAAGCTGTAATAGGACTAAGGCAGACTTTTAAAAGAAGAAATTCACAGGTTTGAGCACACATCATGTTCTCTGAGTTGGGGTGTTCTAGTTTATCCCCAACTGACAACAAACATGATATACTAGCTCCATTAAAGTCAATGGGAGCATTGACACAGACTTCAGTGGGACCAGGATCACACTGCACCCCAAGTTGACAAAAGTCTTTAACCAAACAATACAGGTAGTTTTCCACATAAACTCAAAATATGCAAAATGCATAAACCATACAAGGCAGCTCCTATGTTTCAGACAGAACTCCCTATCCTGGCTTTTGGTTCCCTGTATGTCATTATCTATGTCTTTTAAGGTGCTTAGCCAAAATGGCCTCAGCTGTACCTAATTAGCTGGTAATACCTCCCTGAGCTGTCTCTGAACCTGCCCAGAAATTAACCCCCGGTGCCCCAGGCTGTTTACTGTTTTGCAGGGCCTGGCCAGAGACACTACTGGGGCCGGGCTTCAGGATCCTTTCCAAGGGGCACCAAAAGGCCTGTGTACACCATCACAAACCTCTTGACCTGAAAAGAATAGTTATTATGAAGAGAACCAGGCTGCAGTCACACAGATACTGACAACCACAACTGCTTCCCTCTGATCAGCATGAGAGTTCAGGTGCAAAGATTAACTGTGTACAGCAGCAAGCCTTCAAAGGAAAAATAATTCTCCCAGCATTAGTGATACTCATTACTATAGATACAGTACCAGTTTCCCTAGACATGCAATTAGCAATAGCTTCTAAACGCACGTGGACCACCAGCTTTTAGTAATGAATATAATTACGGCATATAGCATGGGATTTTTTTAAGCTTTCAGATTCAGTACCTTGCTTGACCCAGTCTTTATAATGAAGTTTGTGCTTTAACGTATAACAGCATTTGTGATACCCAGAGACCAGCTCCTGCCAACTAATGGTCACTGTTGCTTCTTCACCTTCAGGGGAGCTAGCAGGTCGTTCAAACAAAGAGATCAGAGCAGTGGTAAAGGAAATGGCTTGAACCTGAGAAAGAAAGAACTTTTATTTAACAACAACAACAAAAAGGGCGGGGGGGGTGACCTACAGACTCCATACCAAACACAGGCAGGAAGAGATTAAGAACATTCTCTGCCTGCAGACAGCAAATACTGCCCCAGGCCAGCTCATCTGGGAGAAATGTCAATTATGGAGAAACACGCCCCCACTGGCTGTAGTTAATAAGGGCAAACCCAAGTATAAAGGCCAGGCGAGGGGTAGGGTGGGTGGTAGATGAACTTGGGATGTCACAGGATAACAACTTTCTGCCAGAACAGTAGCATTAGCCTGCCTCTGAAAGACTTAAAAACCTTTGGAAGTACAAGGGAGAAAGATAGAAGTAGAAGCCCTAAGGATAAAGTGCTTTTTGACTTCTTTATATTATGTTTATGGACTGTGCCTTTTTTCCCCCCAGTTGATTTGATTTAAGCCACTGTTGACTAAGTCAAGGACTAACTAAGGCTGCTCAAACTGGGGTTTTGTACAAGGTGGTGTCCATCACTGCTGACAGCAAGGTAGCTAAATGGAATACAGCACAAACTCTCCACCTTATTACAAATTCATAACTTGCAGATATTTGCGTTTCAGTATTATTGCTATGGCTATCTTCTTTAACGAGGCTGCAGGGATTTGCTTTTGAGCAGAGATTAAAAGAGCTAAATGTGTATAGTTTGGCTATGTGACAAATAAGGGGGTGACAAATCTAAAAGTAATTGACAGGAGTAAGCACATTGTCTGGAAACAGACTGTTTAGTGCAGTACAAGGTGTATGACTGAGTAATGGGATGCAACTGAGACAATTTATTTTGAATAGTAGGAGAAGCTCCTTAATAGTGAAGCTGTGGCTTCAATCTTTCAAGCTAGAAGGTAGGAATCACATTGCTGGACAAAATAGTAGAAAAGGCACTGTAGGGCATAATTCTACACTGGCAGGAGGTGGCCTAAATTCCCTGAGAGGTCCTTTCTATCTGTGACCACTAAGATTTTATAACATAGCAATAATCTGTATTCTGCCTTTTCATATGTAATACTATGCATAGTATCAGTGTGTGCTACTTGGATTTTTTTTTTAATATTGTCAGTCACTTTAGTGTTTTATTCAAGAATGGGCCGGCTTTCTGACTTTATCAGTCGCTACATTGTTAGATTGCTGTTACTACTCAAACAAATCCAGGGTGAAAATTCCATAACTATCCAACAAAGTATAATGATGATACAATTATATGATTCAGCCACTAATGAATGTTATCTGCTGAGAAATAGGGAACTCTCTGTGCCAACCTTTTAGTCTTGTTTATACCATACTTGCCTGTCCAGAGACATCCCCCAATGTTAGAATAGCTTCATTTCCATCATGAGGGTTATACCAATAGTCCATACATATCACTGTTCCCCGGAGACCATGCAGCCTGTACTGACAAGACAACCCTTGCTTGGAATTCAGATCATAAAAGCAGATCTCTTTACTCGTAAAAGCAATAGCTATCTGGAGAAAGGAGATGGGGGGAGGGGAGAACAACATTGCTAGATTAAGCATTTAAAATATCCTTTAACATAGAACAGATTATATATAATCTTTAATAGCAAGACAAATTTGCAACAAAAAATCTCCCATTATGTTCTGGAATAATACAGCCTACATTTAAAACTCCTTTAGGTTCCCTTTCTGTATTCTAGCAATCACATTGGCTGGCAGGAATGTTCATTCCAAAAGTGAACTTTAAATTCAAAATGGCAAGTATTAAGATTATGCAAACCTGATGCTAAAAGTTACTCTCATCCAGCCAGGGCAGGCAGCAAAAATGTACTAGGGAAGATTCAAAAGGCTGGAAACTTCCTCTCAGTAAAACTGTGTGTTCAGACTATTCCCAGCCAGCATAAGGTCCCTATATCCCTGCGCTAACTTGTGCTTGGACCCAGGCAGAGAATCAGGGAGCCGTAACTGGCTCCCTGAGAGAGTTCCACATTATGCTGTACCCCTGAGAGCCGAATGTAGCAGGGGATCTGCCCCCTCCCAGTGACCTGTGTGCCCAATCAAAACAGCTTCAATTTTTTTAATATCAAATACTTGCAACAAACTGAGCAAATGAACTATGAACCAAGGTTTATTTGCAAATATGATCTAATGTATCATTTTGACTAAAGATTAAAAGGGAGAAAGTTGCAATGTGTTCTAACAATTTAGGAACTGAACAAAAGGTTACAATTTCCCTGAAGCGTGTAAATTGTTCATCCAGCCCTAGCCAAGATACGGTAACTAGTTAAAACACATCTGAATGTACCGCATGCAAATCCAGTGACTGACTTTCAATCTTTTACAGATCCTACCTGTATCTGAGCATTGGAGCGGCTATCCCCTTAACACCTGACTTCATAAATGTTGCTTAGCTTTATTAGGGGATATCATTCTGAGATAAAGTAACCATATGGGGCTTCATTTAATATAAAGTATGTGGCTAGTCCATTGTTAGTGTTATGGGATATAGGGCTTGTTTATACTTACAGCGCTGCAGCAACATAGCTGCACCAGTTCAGCTGCACCACCACAGCGCTTAGCCAAGACGCTATCTATGCCGACGGGAGAACTTCTCCCATTAGCTTAGGTACTCCACCTTCCCGAGAGGCAGTTGCTGTGTTGAGGGGAGAAGCCCTCCCATCGACAAAGCTCTGTCTACACCAGGAGTTTGGTCAGTGTCACTGCTCAGGAGTGTGGATTTTCCATACGCCTGAACGACGTAGTTACACCAACGTAAGTCTGTAGTGTAGACCAGGACTCAGTTATGGTGTCTCAGTTTTTGCGATAACATGGGTTGAAAGCAATAAGGAAGCACGTTCAACTCTCAGCAAGGTGTAGACATGGGGAGAGAATACTAGTGTTTTTGAACAGTGCCCCTTCTGGCTGATCTAAGGCCCTATAGAGGGAGTCCTTTCAAACTCTCCTTGACCTAAAGGATGGCAGTTTTGGGATGGGCCATAAGAGTGAATGGGACTGGAATAAGATTTAAAAGAGGGGATGTCTGACTCTCTGAAGGTCACAGAAGATACCCCAAGCCCTAATGACAGGAGTGGAACTTCCTTATTTAACTGTGTAAGCTGGGTGGCAAGGGAGTTACCCAGAGATACTGCCAAGCTACTGGAAGGGGTGGCTATTTTACTCCTTATCTACATATCTTTTTTGTTGCTATGTTTTCCCAAGCTTATGACTGTTGCCTTTCCCTTAATAAAGATTTCCTTGTTTCTGCACAGTCCAAGTGTTTGAGTGTGTGGAAGTTCTGCCTGTTAAGGGCACCCAGGGAGGTGAATTTAGTTTCCCCAGGTTTCTGGGTGCTGGCTTGAGCAAGTTTACTTATTTGCCAAGAGGGATTCTACAGACTTTGAACCCAGCACTTTTGGCTGACATTCACCACCTGGCAAAAGTGCAATACTCATCATCATTCCTCATGCTGTACCAGCCTGGTGAATAACCAGAGAACTTCAGTGGTTATCAATCTGATATTTTACAAGTTCTAACAGACTTTTTAAAAAAGGGGGTTTATACCTTGTTTACATTTGCTAGCGAGACCAGCGTTGTTACCCACAGATCTTTCAGTTTGACAGCTTCTGTAGTAATCTGCAGAGTTCTCTGTAGCTTTAAGTTTTCTCCCCAGACTCCCAGCAATCCATTTCTACTTACAGTCAGGTAACAGCTGGAGCCTTTCAAAAAAGTTACATTTTGAATAATATCTTTGTGGATGGGCGAAAGAAGTCGGAGATTCTTCCACTGAGGGATGACTGATGATCTCGTTCGTTCATCCTTCTCATTAAGGTCTAAGAGCATGAAAGAGGTCACTTTGTCCCAGTCAATGATACCATCTCGGGTCACATCTATCTTATCAAACATCTCACCAAATTCTTCTTTAGTACTTGGTCTGATCACTGCACAAATCTGCTCTGTGAACTCTTCTCTAGTCATGACCACTCTTCTGTTTAAACCTGGAGACTTCAAAAAGGACAGAGCAAGACAACAGTAGTTGCACTGGTGCGCCCCTGCTAGTAAACATAAACATGGATTTGCCACACAGCAAGTAGTAATCTTACTCGTGGTATCTAAAGGCACAGTCAGTCTGTAATAATGAACTATTTTACAAAACCTGATCAAAGGAGTCTGTCCCTTCACAAGAGGGCCATGTAGATATTTTAACAATGAAATATCTGTATAACACACCAGATTGACAGCCCTGGAGTCAAAGTTCTCTAGACAGCCAGGCTAAAATTTTCCTTTGTGCAGAGGACCAAACAAGGCCCCATGCACCACTTAACCCTTGTGGCTCTCTGCACAGGGGTGAATATTAACCATCGCCCCCCCCCCCCAATAAAAAATTCTGCTGAGACTGCTAACAAAGTTGCAATGGTGCATTTTAAACTGTGGACACCTATGACCAAAAACTCTTCTCATATGGACTATTGAATAGCTGTCAGATGGTAGTGATTTTTAGTCACTGGGCTAGATTTGACCTGGTGAACTTGGCTGGAAAGCTCTGCATCTTATTACTAATTTCCTGAGCCATTCAGTCAACTCTGCATATTTTTTCTGATTCCATTAATTTTCTCATGCCATCAAATTAAGTGTACTTACATTTTTTTTTTAAAAAGGCTATGAACGCAATGCCTCATGCAAGCTCACTATTGCAATTAGTTACTGAAAAATCTAGCAGAGGCTGACACGACAGTTTTTATATTAAGTAAAAAAATGGAAAAAAAAAGTAAATTCACGATAACTTTGTGGAAAATCAGGTTTAATTATTTCTCCTATTTGCATCCCATTAACATTGCTTTGTTATCTATCTTGTTTTTCCATGTCTCACAGTAATGACACACTGTACTAGAATGCAAATTATCTTCTATTTACACAGGAACTTTTATTTCACTTTTATGTAGGAGAACAGAGATCTCCACTTTTGTGGACTGATTTTCAAAAGTGCTGCGTGGTGCCCACAGTGAGGTCAGTAGGAGTTGCAGATGACCAGCACCTAAAACTCGGGCCAACTGCCAAATTGCAAAATGAAAGAGTTGGAGTCTGCAGTCATGTATCCCCAGAAGGTGTGAGCTACAGGGAATGAGGTACCAACCTTTACCCTGCAAATGCCCTGCCAACTTCCCTAAAACCTGACCTTGGGGACAAGCTCTCAGGATAAGCAAATATGTCTGTCTCCATACCCATCCACTTGGCTAGAACCTTTGCTGACACTGACCACGAAGGTGTAGGTTTGCAATGGTGATGTGGTGAACAGTTGTGCATCAGAAACAGGGCTGAGCCCGCCCTCTCCCCCCATGCGTGCACACACTTTGAGAATCTCATTGGGATACCTAACATCCCTCAGATGGTTACACTTTCAACCTGGGGAGAATTGATAGTAGCAGCTTAGAAATCAAAAGTTCTATACCCATTCCCAACCTTGCATTTCCCAGCATCATATATTTACATCTTAATGTAATATTAATACAGGAGCTAATTTAACATTTTCCCACTGTGATGTGTTTAGCATCAAGACATTGCCATGTAAATGAGACAGCCATCTCCAGGGATATGTTTTGCATTTACCCAATTTGGTCTCAATTCACTGAGATGTTAAAATGTGACATGAGAAAGAGTTTGCTCCTTTTTTAGCATGGGACTCTCAGAGTATCAGCCATCCCCGCAGAGAATCACACATAGCTTAGAAATTTAAAGGTGCAATACAGAGAGAGAGCTACACACACTTTATTTAAAGAGTATTGCATATAAAGATTTTTTGAAAAAAAGATTCACTGGAGTCTTTTATTTCAAGATTTTCATTTTTAATAGGCACACCTCTTAGGCCCTGATCCTGCAAACTCATAGGCACATGCTCAATTTTAAGCACATGAACAGTTACATGAGCTTAAGTATTTCCAGAATCAGAGCCTTAATCAGGATAAATTGTCTATTCAGGTACCCCAGTGAGAAGGATTCTTCTGTACTCCCTCTATTGCTATACCTTCCTTTTATTGTCCCCATCTTTTGATTCTGTGCTTCTCTGGTCAATTTGACTCAATTACTAAATATATTTTTAAATGAATATGTACAGCAGAATCACTGCCAGCTACTGTGAACAGCCTCTCAAGTAGATTGATATGTTGTTCCAGCACAGATGCACCAGTTTATCTTACTCCTCCACTATTTCCACCATCCACTGAACATGCTATGCTAATGAAAGATTGTAAGGAGGCAGACAGCATGTAACTAGACTGCAGGTTGATGGAAGGTTGGAGGGGTTTGTTTTTTTCCTTCCCACATCAGTGGTTTTACTAGTTATTAAAGTTTCAATTATATCATTTTCTGGATGGTTTTCTGTCTAAGAGTCTAGAGTAACACAGTCTTTGAAGCATGGACAGCGCGTGAACCGCCGGCTGAGGGAGGCTAGCCCCCAACCCCGGCCCTTACGCCCAAAGACCCGCTGGAGCCAAGCCCCTCCCCACCGGAGCCCAGAGCCACCGCTGCCTCACCCCCACCGTGGCCACCGGCCCACTCCCGCAGCTAGCCCCCAAGCTCCAAAGGAGCGCCAGAAAGGCAGGCAGTGCGTGGCCCCAGCCTCCCCAGCTCCAGAGTACAGGTAGGCAGGTGACCCCAGCGCACTGGGGGACTAGACTCAGAGCCGGGAGGAGGACTGGAGCCACAGCCGCACACAGAGAGCGGGGTCACGCCTGGCTGTTTGGGGAGGCAATTCCTCCCCCTGCCTGTGCGACCCGCTGCCCATGCTTTGAAGTATTCACGAAATCAAATGGTGTGTTTTTTTTCTTAAAGAGAAGCAGGTTGGCCTAGTAAGAGGTGGTATAGTCTAGTAGATTGAACCTAGGTTTCTTGAGGCTCAATCCAGTGTTCTCTTTCCCTCTCTGCCAGTGACCTTAGATAAGTACCTTTGCCCTTCCCCCTCCCACCCTCTGTCTATCTTGTCTATTTATACTGTAAACTGTCTGAAACAAGAATTGTCTCACTGTATTTGTACACCACTTAGCACAATGGGACCACAATCTTCGTTGGGACCTCTAGGTGCTACTATAATATAAAAATAATAATTTTCTATATATTTTACAACTAACAGAGCACAGAAACAGATACATTTTTTTTTTCATTTAAACTTTGGGAGCTCACATCATATTCTTAAAGAATATGAACGGTTAGAAAAAGAGAGATGAGAGAGGAAAAAATGGTTACTATCTTTTCCGTAACTGTTGTTCTTCGAGATGTGTTTCTCATGTCCATTCCATGTTAGGTGCGCATGCACCATGGCCAGAGATTTCTCCCTCAGTGGTATCCATCAGGCCGGCTCTAGTGCCATGGTGCTGCGCGTGGATGCACTGGTATAAGGGTCCCAGCCAGCCCTGCACCCTCTCAGTTCCTTCTTGCCGGCTAACTCTGACAGAGGGGCAGGAGGGTAGGTCGTGGAATGGACATGAGCAACACATCTCAAAGAACAACAGTTACAGAAAAGATAGTAACCATTTTTTCTTCTTCCAGTGCTTGCTCATGTCCATTCCATGACTCCCAAGAGGTACCCGAGGAGGTGGGCTCAGAGTTCGTGGACATGTGGATTGAAACACTGCTCTACCAAACTTGGCATCATCACCAGCCTGCTGGGTAATAGCGTAGTGGGATGAGACAGTATGTACCAATGACCAGGTCACTGCTCTGCAGATGTCTTGGATAGGGACCTGGGCCAGAAACACCACTGATGAAGCCTGAGCTCTCATCGAATGGGCTTTCAAGATGGAAAGAGGTGGGACACCGCCTTCTCATAGCACATACAAATGCAGAAAGTGATCCAGGATGAAATTCTCTGGGCTGAAACCGGTAGGCCTTTCATCCTGTCTGCTACTGCCACAAAGAGCTATGTTGATTTATGGACCAGCTTGGTTCTCTCAGTGTGGAAGACCAGGGTGTGTCTAATATACAGCATGTGGAGACACTGCTCCTCATGCAGTTTTGGGAAGAAAATGGGTAGAAAATAGCCTGATTACCATGAAACTGCAAGACCAACTTTGAGAGGAATGCGGGGGGGGGGGGGGGGGGGCGTTGAACCTTGTCCTTAAAGAACACTGTATATGGGAGGATCTGACATAAGGGCCCTGATTTCTGAGACCCTCCTGGCTGAAGTAATCGCTACTAGGCAGCCGACCTTCCAGGAGAGATATAACAGAGGGCACGATGCCACTGGCTCAAAGGGAGGGCCCATGAATCTTGAGAGGACCAGGTTTAGATCCCAAGGTGGGATAGGTTTGCAAATTTGAGGGCAAAGTCTCTCTAATCCCTTGAGAAAGCAAATGGACATTTCATGTGAGAAGACTGACCTACCTTCTACCGAAGGGTGGAAGGCTGAGATTGCCGCCAGATGCACCTTGATCGATGAAATGGCTAGGCCCTGTTGTTTCAGATGGAGCAGGTATTCCAGCACCAGCTGGAGGGGTGACCAAGTTGGTGAGAGGCCTCGTTGCGAAGACCACACAGAAAAACGCTTCCATCTGGCTATGTAAGTTGCTCTAGTGGACGGTTTCCTACTACCTAGCAAGGTCTGGCAGATTTGTTCTGAACATGTCTGCTCCACCGAGTTCAACCATAGAGCTTCAATATGGTCAGGGGGACAGCCCTGAGGTTTGGGTGGGATAAACAGCCATGATGTTGCGAAGCCAGGTCCAGGATGGGTGAAAGCAGCAGCAGGGTTTCTACTGACAGATCCAGCAGAATGCTGAACCATCATTGTCGCAGCCATGCAAGGGCTATAAGGATAACCCTGGCTTTGTCCTGCTTGACTTTCAGAAGGACCTTGTGCACCAGAAGAATGGGCAGAAACACATAGAACAGGAGCTCTGTCCATGGTAGTAAGAAGGCATCTGAGAGAGAGCCTGGGCTGTGACCGCGTAGAAAGCAAAACTGCTGACATTTCCTGTTCTGCTTGGTTGCGAACAGGTCTACATGGGGAAACC